GAGTACAACCTTGGACTCAGACAGCAGTCTTGTGGGGTGCCAGTGCTAAGGGTGAGTGGTGTTGATCTTTTATACCTGTAAGTGTAAGAGTTTGAAAAGCAAAAAACTCTGTCAGTTCACAACACTTATTCATATTTTCGAATGACATGGGTGAGCACCTGTTAGTCAGAAATACTGTCAGGCGAAGTCTGCTTTTGAAGTAGACCCAAGACAACTTTTCATGAGGCAGGGTATTGAGGCAATTTTGAGGTATGCCATTTGGTCACTGCTGTTTCACTGCTAATAAAGAGAACGCACTGAAACATTAAAAAAATATAAAAATAAATCTTTTAAGAAGTGTTCTAAACAAATTGCATACCTCACAATAAAATCAGGGGAGACGTTCTTTGACGTACTGTTATCGTATTCAGATTCAGCATTGTCTATCGACTGTGACTTCCAGCATCTCCAGGTTCCAAAATAACGTATCGTATTAGAACAGCAGGATCAGAAACCCACTATACTTTTGCACTGGTTATTGTGGTCATTTTGCTTCCAAATGTCCACTTAAAAGCTGAAGTTCTTTCATCTCAAGCTCACCTGCCCAATAAATCACGAATCCTATATGCGTCAGATTCTGTGGAATCACAAAGAAATTGTAGTTAACACGGCTATCAATAAATGACCCATAGAGGTAGCCCTTATTATTCTTGTGTTTCACAAAGGCACAACGCTGTACTGTATACTGTATACAATTTAGAAAAATGCTAAGTACAGCATAACTTTGAGCTTTTACAATGCATTGTACATTTTGGTAATACGAAGCTATTCCCTTACAAGATGAAGTTATAAGTATGCAAATAAGAAATTGTGGTATAAAAAATCGATACAATTTGATTTTTCCTGGGTTTTCTCGTTAGTGTTCTGCTGGTTTCCCTACAGCGTCCGTAAGCTATTCTTTGATGCGCACCGCGCTGTGAGCCAGCTGGATCAGTCAGGAGGATGAACACACTTCAGTTAAAACGAGAAGAGAAGATCATCGATGTTTGTATTTCTTCTTTTAAAATTATGTTCAGAATCTGTACGTTATGCAGTTAACATTTTGTGCAGTTAACGCAGCGTAGCGTGTTCCTGTATTTTTGTCCGTTTCAATGACATCAAAGACGGATTTTACGTCCAGGATATTCTCAGTTAACAAGTACAAGGTATGATCATATTTTCTTCTGTAAGCTTTTTCTTAGCTTGCATTAGGGTTGTCGAGAGTACTTTAAAACAGGAAATGTATCCTCCATTTTATATAATGTATGTATAGTGTATACTGTACAGTGTAACGAAACAAAACATTTACCACACCTCTGAGCATACCTCCTCCGTAAAACAATATTTCGGATTTGGGGGCATTTTAAAATAACATATGAGATTTATGTATGTGCCTGCCTGTTAGGTCGGGAATTTCAAAACAACCGGATTAAAATACAATGTACCGGAATTAATTATATACTCTGTATTTTTTAACCTTTAAAGATGTTATATGAACTGATTTTAGCATTTCACATTTAAATTCCTGGCATGTATGAGCTCTTTGTATTTATTATGATTTATTTATTATTTTCCAGTAAGATCAATGTGTAAAAAACAGCAAATGAAACGCAAGCACATTGTCACTCCTAAGTGTTTTCTTTGCAATGTGCTACTCTCCTGCTGGGCTCGCTAGACTATAGCACTTGGTAAAAGGTGGGAGCCGCTCTAAACTGTGAGGCCAGACCTTAAAAACATTTTATTTTTATTAAATTAAAGTGCCGAATTTGTTAATCTCCCCTACAGAGTAATTTTTTTAGCTTGAATAATAAATGTGCCAAATTGTTTTTTTCGTTGCATATGCACATCATATATCGTCTTTCATTCTTTGATTCATACGTACAATTCATGTGGACTATATTACAAGATTCCTGGAAGAAAAGCCAACTAAAAAGGAAAATAATTATCATTCTGGATCTTTATTACGACTATATTCAAGCGTTGTTGTTCAAGTGTTGTGTTTGAGAATTAGCTATATACTCCACATATTAAATGATTTCACATTATCTTGTCTGTGCTTAGATTTATTTGACCCAGTTTTGAATAGCAGCTTCTTTGATCCCACGGCACACATGCAGAATTAAGTGTGGGTGAGCAGCCAGGCGTGGAAACAGAGATGTAATCGCCTCACCCACTACAAAGAGTCTCTGAACCGCTGAATCACTGCTTGCTGCTCCTAATGGCTTCGCACCCTGGCTGCTCGCAGGTTAATTCGGCAAGCTACAGCGATTCTGTGCCAGTAGGTCTCCTCCCCAGTCGCAGGAGAATGCCCAGGGACATTGGAACACTCTCTGAGTTCCGTAAGTCACAATTAGCATTACTGTGCAACCCGGACTGAAACCCGAGAAGTGCTGAAAACCCGGCTCACCTTACACACTCTCCATGGGGCACTAGGTACTGCAGACATTAAATATTAAACGTGCCCTTATGGTGCTACAGACTTTAGAGGTTGATATGTGCATTGAGGTTATTTTGGAATATGCCTTCAATGCATATTCTAACTGGAGTAGTGTGCCACTTGAAGTTAGATAACAGCTGGCTACCAGGTTGATAAGCTGGCTACCAGGTTGTCTAGTCACAAAAGAGAGCTGGAAACCGAATGGAAGCTGAATTACAAAGACGTGCGTGACGGATTTTGACGATTTTATGAATCCGCACCCTGTGGGAACGGGAATCTTTAGACAGAAATAAACGCTTGAACAGCTTGAATTAAAAATACTGTTGTTGTTTGTTTGTTTTTTTTTACAATTTCTTTCCCTGGAAGGAAGCCCACACAAAGAGGGGGCTTCGATTCGATTATGTTTTCACTTTTATTTTTCTTCTTCAAAGGCTGTCGTCTAGACAATGAGGAAGTGCAGCGTTTGGACGTTTCTTCCCATAATGTTTTCTCTCTTCACTGCAGCAGGATTATGGATTGTGTGAGTTTTGACTACGGTTTTACTCAAAAGGCTGTTTTGCCCTGCTTTCTTATGTACATGAGCAGTTGCTTCACAGCTGGGCTGTTCATGCTTGTGTTTTTTAATGATCTCTGGAACGAAGAAGATGCTGGTAAAATGTGCACTTCTGACATTTATTGTCAGTCTACCTGAATCCCATTTTGGGAGTCTTATAAAGTGTACAGGGGGTACTAGTTATACTTTGGGGTTAGGGACCAGACCAGATATGTCGTGATGTATATTGATGGGGGGGGAAAGAGACGCAACACTTCCTCCTCCACGCTCTGGCCCTCCCGTCTGCTGGAACAGGTTGAAGAGTGATTCGTGGAGAGGACCTGATGCCAGTGCTGACAAGTCCATCGCAGCCTCTGTCTGGCCCAAACCAGTTGGGTATGACATCTAGGAGGTGTGAGCAGAGGGCCTCTGACAGGTCGCCTTGCTCTAAGGCCAGCAGCATGGAGCCTCACTGTCCTGTCACTGATGCAGACATTATGTCTGCCAGTAGTTTCAGCAGCAGTACAGGTGGCAGATCTGAAAAAATCTCTCAGATGGACCAGTCTGATATGTCGGTCCTACTCTGGTGTGGTCACTTGAGGGTGACCGGATCTTGGATGGTCATCTGTCCTGCTGGTCTGCTGAAACTTTCTCTGTAGTCTGGACACACTGGAGCGGCTTACTCCATAGTGTCTGGCAGCGCTGGCACATGACATGCCTCCCTGCAGCATGCCAATGGCCCTCTCCCTTGCTTCTGGTGGCATTAGAGGCATTCTGGAATGCACAGAACATTCTGGAATGCACAGAAAACTAAGTGTGGCCTTTTTAAAGGTGACCTGATCAGGCATTGGAACAAGTAATAGGTTTATTCCATGCTGAAAAAAAGAAGAAAGAAAGCGCAACGTTTCGGCCGTGGAGCCTTCTTCAGGTGAGAGAGAGACAAGGCAGTAAGCAAAGGTAATGTAGTGGGAGAACAAAGGCTGGGAGAGAGGAAGAGCGAGAGGCCGAAACGTTGTGTTTTCTTTCTTCTTTTTTTTTCAGCATGGAATAAACCTTTTACTTGTTCCTTTGCAGCCTACGCATGCTGATGCAGCTATCCACCTGGACCTTGTTGGGTAAAATGCCCCTAACAAGCTTTTGTGTGATTGGCAAGTTGCAATGCCTCACTACACAAGCTGTATTGCTGGTCAGAGGGCTTATAACAAATTGACAATTATATGTGAAAGTACATAAACTGTAACTATAGAATTCTCATTCCAGAAAGTGTTGCATTTCTTTTTTTCCTTCAGTATATATCGAAATGACGTACAAGTTCATTTTCGCCCTTAAGAACAATGTAAATATGTGGGTTTGGCACACTAAGTGTGTAAACTTTACCTAGGCAACCGAATTGGGAGCCTTTTCCCATAAAAATTAGTGGAATAGAATTGGTACCATAAATTAGACTGTGTTTCACTTGTACTAGTTAAAGAAAACAAAGAAGTCCTGTTATAATTTCAGGTTATGTTCATAAATAATGTGACTTGTAGCGTAATGGTTAAGGGATCATTATATTTAATGTATAATTACAATATACATAAGGAGTAATGTAATGAAGACAGGGGGGCGTGCCCATGGTGTGCTGGTGGTCAGAGGAGGTGTGGCCAAGGCAAACAGTCCGGAGCGGAGTCTAAAAGGGGAATCCAAAAACGGGGAAAAGGTCCAAAGCCGAGCGATCCATCTGAGACAGACGAGATAAAAACAAGAACCGGGTTGGAACCGGCACGGGAACGGGAATGGGAACAGGAACAAATACGGGAACTAAAACCTTAATGGGACCAGGCGCTGCCAGGTCCTGGACTGGCCTGGGATGAAAACCAATGCAGAGCCCGGGATAATGTCAGCGTCTGGCTTTTAAAGGAAACTGAAAAGGGGGCTGGTACAGGGAGCAGTTGCGGGAGATGAGTAAAAAAACAAAGAAGGGCTGAAGCACCCTTAGGAGGAGGGGTTTACGATCATGACCGACGTATAATGGGGACCCGTCTGTTTTTACTATACAATTATCTTACGGCCCATGGGGGCCTGTGTATTGTGTGTGTTATATTTGGTGGTTGGAAATGTGTGCAGAAGTACACAAGAAGAGCACGTGTCATTGAAAGTTGTTCTTAGTGCTATTGCAGTATACAATATTAAAACACAATATCGTGTCACAGCCAGAAACTTTTACTCAGAGGTGTCTTTGGGCCTGAGCCCCCTGCAGAAAACACACAGTAACACCAAAGTACAGCACTGAATTATGCATTTTAAATGACAAGAAAAATGAGTTGTTGTGAATCATAATCATGTTTTACAGCAACAAGAAAAATCCCAGCTGAAGCAGAAGCAATCCTCATTCATTTGCTATAAAAGTCAAATTGTAGTAATAAAAATCTATCTCCTTAATCAAGTTAACTGTTCTATTACAGTTGAATAAGCACTTTCAAAATTTAAATGAAAACAATATCATCCTTCATCAGTTTCCATTACACTCTGATGCACCTAAATAAGGTTGTATTTCTTCAGCATTTATTGCCAAATTAAACGCCACACAGATTTGTCACCTTTAGAAAACCTGTTTAATTGTATCTTTGATGACATTCATCCTGTGGATATAAAAATCTTAAGAATAATAAGGTGGTACTTTTTCCTTCTCATGTTGCATTAAGCTCTTTAGAAATACAGGCTGTGTGAAGATGTGCTTCTTACAAAATGTTAATTGATCACCAGACGCACAGGTTTAGTCACTTTTCTTTAATGTAAATTAATGTTTCACACAGCAGAAATCATTTGGACATTATGTAGGCCCATCTTTTTTTACGTATGTGTCCCTACAATGAGCATGACCATTTCAAAATTCTAAATAGATTAAAAGTGCCACTTACAGTTTTTTTTTCATGCTTAGCAAGATAATAAGGAGTGACACTGCTCTTGGAACAGGGGACATTGAGAACACGGTTGAGAAAGGTTGTAATCATTTATAGAACTAATCATTTCTAATTTCTTTAATATTAGATTCACTATCAATATTTCAGGATGGCACATTAGTGTAGTGGTTAGTATTGCTGCCTCACAGCACCGTGGCCCTGGGTTCAGGTCTGGACCTTGGGTGCTGTCTGTGTGGAGTTTGTATGGGTTTCTGGGTTTCCTTCAGGTGCTGTGGTTTCCTCTCATAATCTATAAAAAAACAAACTAAACTAGTATGTTTTTTTATCTTTGGTGCTTGTGTCAGTGTGTGTGCCCTTGATACTGGTGCTTGCTGGGATAGGCTCTGGTCCCACCATGACCCCTGAATTGGAAGAAGTGGTTAGAAAATGGAAAAATAGATTTAATATTTAAATATAAGTTATTAAAAGTGAGGTTTTAGCCTTCATGAAAATCATTGGGAAAAAAAAGACATTCCTCCTATCGTTCAGCACGTCTAGTATCCCAGGACTTCTAAGTGGCTCAGATATGTGACAGTGATTGTTTGAAAAAAAAACTACCCCTGCAACCCTGTATTAGATAAAGCAGTTCGAAAATAGTTGGATATGAAAGAAACATAGAAAAGTCCTGAAAATTAGGCCTATTCAAATCATATCCTGTGGCAAACCTAAATTAATTTATATGCACAAAATTACCAATTGCTCTGTAAATAGCTGGCTGTGGCAGCACAACTTGTGATGTGATGGGACACATTTGACTAGACACAGTGGAAACTGGGAGATCTTGAGCTGACCACTGTATCCTCTGGAGGCTTGCTAGGTAGCAATAACTCCAGGGACCTGTCAGGTACCCTTGTGGTGTTGTCAGTAATATATCTATTTTTTATACACATATATACTATAATATTAAAAATATATATGTAATAAATGTTTTAATCAGTGCATTATGATGTGCATTTGGAAATAGAAAGCAACATCCTTTTTTCTCTGAACAATTTATCTTACAGATACTTTATAGCAGTTGATGATGAAAAAGTAACTCCACTTAATTCGGAATACAGGTAAGAGATTTTGATGAGAGACTTATCTCATAGAAACCTCCACATGAAGTGCAGAATGGGATCTGTATTCAGCAGGTGACTGGTTCAATTCATAGCTGTGCCAGCAGATATATAACCCTGCCACTCACAGTAGGCAACCCTCCGGAGCACAGCAGGTGTGCATAAAACTTAGATTCCAACTGTCTGTGGCAATTAAAGGTCCCAGGGTGTTTGTCAAAAAGAGTGTAGGGGTGTTACCCTGGTGTCCTGGCCAAATTTCCTATTGGCCTTTACCAGTCATAGCCTCTTAATAATCCCCATTTATGAATTGGCTTCATTACTCTGCTCTCCTCCTCACCGATAGATGATGTGTGGTGAGCGTTCTGGCGCACTATGGCTGCCTTCGCATGATCCAGGTGGATGCTGCACATTGGTGGTAGCGGAGGGGAGTCCCCATTACCTGTAAGGTGCTTTGAGTGGAGAGTCCAGAAAAAGCGCTATATAAGTGTAAGCAATTATTATTATTAGCTATCCGTCCCAGAAGGCAACCATCGAGGAGTAAGTTCAGCACCGCATTAGCTCTGCCAGCACCTTCTACAGGAAACTGTGCTGTCGGGTCTTTGAACTGTGACCTCAAGAAGGAAACTAAGATCATGGTCTATAAGGCCATCTGCATCGCTACCCTCCTGTACGGCACTGAGACCTACCGTTATCTACCGTTGTCACTTGAAGACTCTTGAGAGATTCCATTAGCGATGCCTTCGGAAGATTCTCCGTATCGACTGGGAGGATCGCCGCATTAATTCCAGTGTCCTCATTCAAGGCAAAGACGAGCAGTATCGAAGCCATGATTCTCAAGAGCCAACTCCGCTGGATGGGTCACTGCATTGGAGTGCCCAACTCCCATCTCCCCAAGCAAGTCCTCTACTCCCAGCTGAGCCAAGGCCGGAGAATCTGTGCTGGCCAGAGGAAGCGGTTCAAAGATACTCTTAAGACCTATCTTAGAACAGGACAGATCAACATCGCTAGCTGGAAAGTCCTAGCCACGGAACGTCCCCTTTGGCGCCACACTTTGAGACCAACTGCCAAACGGGACTTCTTGCCCCCCACTGTTCCAAGATGTGTGGCTCAAGGATTGGACTCTTCAGACATTTAAGGACGCACAAGGAACCCTGACGGGCGTCATACTTGTTCCGAGTGATGGTAGGCCTGGGTAAGGTGAAATCAGTTTTACAGGTGACCCCTAGGGGTCTGGTCAGTTGTCTGCAGGTTTGTGGTATTTTCAGAGGCCTAATGTCTTTCCCTGCCTTCTGCTTCACACCATGTTTTGCTTGTCTGGTAGAGAACACTGCACGGTTAACAGCAGGGAGTCAGATTTCAAAGCACCTGCTTATTCCAAATTAGTGGGTGTGAAAAGGAAACAGATAGGTGGTAACTGTATTGTATGCACATGTGTAGTTACATAAACAACATGTAACTTATGTGTTTTGTTTTTAAAATAATGGCAGACATCGCTCCTTAAGTGTTCTTGCTGCTGTTTTGGGAAAAACACACCACTGGTGTTTGACCACAAAAACTGGGTCCTATTACAATTTGTCTGACATTTTGACAATTTCTTTAAATAAGCATCTCATTTCATTTATAAAACAGGATTCAGATCGGCATGTTGCTGAATGTTTAAAGTATGATCTTTATATGCTGAATCTGCTTCTTACAGGAGACCCGGATCCAAGTCTCCTCCCTATATAAGGTACAGTATTTATGTTTGTGTCCGTGACTCAGGTTATCACCAACCGTATGGCAAAGGTGTTGTCATATAATGTCCTTTGTCTGTTTCAGTATTGCAGGCAACTCTCCTCCTGCAAGCTGCGTCTTCAGTCAAGTTATGAACATGGCCGCATTTGTAGGTAGGAAAGCCACATGCACTTTCTTCCCCTAAAGCTGTGTCCCACAATTCTTGATTTCAATATATAAAGACTTTGCTTGATTGAAATCATGGGAGGATTTTTCCCCTCATCGTGCTCAAGATGCTGTTACTCTGTACTTCTGTTTCAGCATTTGCTATCAGTGTCCTCAGATACATACACCTGAAGCCCAAAGTTCGCAAGCCCTGGCTGAACATTGGTAGCTTGGTTGCTTTATCTTTGGCCTGCTTTGGAATGACCTTAGTGGGAAATTTTCAGGTAAGGTTCCTTATTTTTGTTCTCGATCTCCTGTAATTCAGTTGATGGAGCCAACTTGCATCTTGTGGCGGAACAGAGGTATGAACTGTGCTCTCTGACCCAGTTTATCCCAGTGGTTCCTCTCTAAATTTCTATTTTGGTTTTATTAGCAGCCGATATCTATGCATAATGCATAAATGATGACTATTTTAAAATTACAATTCTTGTTTAAGTATTTCGAAACCACAATTTAGGAATTTACAACTAAAAAAAAATCATTTATGTTTTTCAAAACGAGTGGATGACCAGTATGCCGTAGTCTGTTATCAGATGTGATATGTATCCTGATGCCTTAATATACATTTATTTTGATCTTTGATGACCCCATTTATACTGCTTTATGTTGGTCTTTGTTGGGACACTGATGGTCTATAACTGAAGCAGTATCAGTCTGCACGTTTGGTTCTGAAACTAGAAAACCACCTCAATGTACCACGCGGATGTTAACAGCCCTTTTCCAATTTTGTTTCAGCTTTCGAACGATGAAGAGCTTCACAATGTGGGGACGTCGATGACCTTTGGGTTTGGAACGCTGGCCTGCTGGATTCAGTCTGTCCTCACCGTGAAGGTCAACTTAAAAAACGAAGGGAGGAGAGTCGGGATTCCCCGGTTTCTCCTGTCTGGGGCCGTCACCTTGTGCATGCTGCTCTGTATCCTTCACTGCTAAGCCAGGTCTCCAGTGACCAGAGCCAGAGGCGCCTTCAGGGGAGCTGGACCCCTTATAAAAGTCTGCTGTGGTGTCCCATGATAATAGCAGAGTAGACGTATAGTAAAGCACAGCGACGTTGTGGTAAGAACATAGTTATACGTAGAAAAGTGTGCCAAAACAAAGACCAACAAAGCAACTGCTTGGCATAAGCATGGTAAAACTACAGTAATACTGTACCATGTTAAAGGGATCTAACTTGTGAGAGTATTTTTATGCTCGATTAAAATTCTGCAACGATCGGAGCCTGCGTCAGTTGTGTACCAGTGCTATGAGAATATTAGCCAGTCGTGCACTGGTGCTCAGGGAATCTGAGTCAATCGTGCGCCAGTATTCTGGGATTCTGAGTCAATCATGCTCCGGTGCTCTGGGAATCTAAGCCAATCGTGCATCAGTATTCTGAGATTCTGAGCCAATTATGCTCCAAGTGCTCTGGGAATCTGAGCCAATCATGCACCAGAATACTGGGATTCTGAGCCAATCATGCTCCAGTGCTCAATCACGCTCAGATAGTTGTGTAAATATCTTGATCACAGTACCTTTACTGGTCTAGCAACTAAGGAGTTCCCTTAAGTTGCTTAAATTGGAAAAAAAGACAACAGTGTTAGGAGCTCAGTTGGCAATAATCAATGATGTGGCCTTATTCCAGGCTAGCTGGAATCTGCTTTACTACCCACACAATCTTGTCAAATAAAATTTGTGCTATACAGACTGGCTTACACAGACACTCTCTGTGTGTAGTACTTTCACAGCCTCAGAGACCTTCTATAAATATTAGATATTTGAATACATAAAGCTTTTTATGTATTTTTGCCAGATTAGCTAAACATAGTAAGCATTAAATATTCTGAAAACAGATTAAAAGAACGTGAGAAAAGATATGAATGGTGAGGGACAGCTGTTTGATCCTTCAGGCTCTGTTGGTAGCTAGTAGTTAACTGACTTAAATAAAAAAAAATAGTTTTAAATCATGTTAACAATGATATGTGTGCTTTCCGAAAACCAGATTTATCAGGCAAATATGCATTAGAAACACACATTCTTTCCACTTAGCTGGTTATTGGTGTCTAGGAAGTACTTCAGACCAAACCACTTTTGTGTGAGGCTCCTTCAGCTTCCTGTGTTTCTGTGACACCCTCTCCGTTGAGTATGTCATTGGTTGCCCTTGACTGCCTGGCTGCAGATTTTGCCCTGATGGCGCAGCGTCTGCACATGCATGCCGCACGGGCACAGTGGGCACTGGTCATGTTCTTCCTGGCCTTCCTCGGGTCGTTTGCCATTGAATTCAGACACTACAGGTTTGAGATCATCTGCACTGACGACCAGGACACCGCTGTCAGCCTGTCTGAGACCTTTTCGGAAATTTCAGAGCATCAGTCTGACCAGCTCTAAGGAACAGGCTTTCAGCATTATTATGTGCTGAAGTCTGATCTTCTATGGCACATTTATACTGACTCCAGAGGTTATATTGTTACAGAAAAAGCATGACCTCCCAGTCCTGTACATAGTACAAAAGAGTTTTCTAGTGCATGAAATTTTGTTTTGTTTAAATGTAATATTAATGAAAACAATGTATTGTTGGTGGGAGAGATTGAGCTACGGATAGACACTAGATTTTAGTACCAAAACCCCTCAGAGAACGGACAAATGAATGAACATGAGCAGAAAAACACAGTTTTGTACATCTAACCTTGATCAATTTTTTTTAGTTAATTTAACTTCAAATTGAATGCCAAAATATCTTGTCATTGACAGGTGGTATGTGTGAAAATTTCATTTCATTTAAATTTCAGTAAACATCTAGCTCCTGCAAAGTCCATTATCTTAATAAGATATTTTGTGCCGAGTCGTAAAAGATGGATGCGTAGAATAGTAATGTCATGCTCTCTGGAGCTGTTGCCATGGAAACCTCCTGGGTTTCTGGGAAGTTCTTTCACCAGACTGGAAATATTTAACCAGCAAAGCCTAAAAAAACAGTTATATTTCAAATTGAAATGTTCAATTATTCAGTGATTTTGAATTTGGAAAAAATACATTTCTAAGGATAAGGTTCTTAACATAAGGCATAAGATAAAATGTCTGTAATGATTTTTTGTCATCTGGCCTAATAGTCTGTTTTTTTATCTTTCTCATACCATTCCAATTGCAAGACTAAATAAAATTCAAATTGTCTTTGAATTATCTTCAACAGCATAGAATTATTTTGATTTTATTAAGGAATAAGAGATCCCATCGGTCTGCTTCATTAACTATTTGAGGGCGGTCAATATGAATAATATGGAACATCCTGATATTGTCACAAATTGGTTTAGATGCCAATTGTAATAAATAAGGGGAGGCTTAATTAATAAGGTCTAAAGTTACAAAATAAGATCCTGACCAAAGAATAAGCAACACTCTAAAACGATCAAATCAAAAGCATCTATTTGCTTACAATAATAGTAGAATAAATGCCACACATGAATTATTATTTACAAATATGTATTTGCAATGAATGTGAGTACATTAACCCTTCCTTTGTATAGACCCAAGACTGGCTCTCCTTGACAAACAGAAACAAGATGTCCCTGAATGAAACAAAAATTCACAAAAAGAAAGGTATGCTTTCAAAATAAAAAGACCTACAGAGGAAAGAATTGCTTTCTGGACTATTGCTAAAGGAAACTTCTTCCAATAAATCAATCGATAAATAAATCCAACAAAAAAAAGTTTTCTTGTGCCTGATGGATGCTCACAAAATGAAGTAAATATTTCCACAAATTTAAGACAACATCCTGTTTTCTAAATTAAACTTGGTCTCAATTGGTCTCCAGATCTCGATTGTAGAATACAATTGTAAGTTTTTGCTGTTCAAGAAGAAGAAGGTCCAATGTACTGAAAAACTGGCCTTTAAAATATGGCCCCCCACCTACATGCTGATAATGTTTTCATTGTTGGGTGTTTAGAGAGAATGTGACGTTGGCAGATTCTGTTTATACTTCATCTCCTGGATCTGCCATTCATCTCTTACCTTGTGATTTCAGTGTTATATTTGGACATCTTTCTCACAACATTCCTTTTTTGTGGCCCATTTTTCCTAACTGAACTGTCAAGTATTCAGAATTCAGCCATACAATAACCAATGTAGGCGTTCTGGAGTGTAGCAATACTGTACAAATCATCAAAGAACTGCAGTCCTGTTGAATACAATACTATTGCACAAACGAAAAGAGCAAAATTTGATCAGACTATGACAAATTATAATGTGCACAATTTTAGCACACAGATTTGTTAGAAAATTCAAAAGTAGGGCATTTTATTATTCACATTTTGATACAAAGATTACTGAATTGCATATGTTATCAGAAAAAAGTTATTTTAAAACAAATATTTTTGTGTTTTCCTGTATATCCATTATGTTTTTGCCCTGTAATTCAAAATAAGCATGTGTTCTCAAAAACTTCTCAAGATACCTCTCTGCAGTGAAAATCTATTTACTTCAAGCAGCCGAAACCAAGTCAAGACAGATTGACTCTTATGAAATAAAAGATGTTTTCCCTCACTTATGCACTAACATGTAGCAGTCCTGTCCTGTTTCTGAGCCTCTGCAATATGATTGTCTGATTGTCAATCTGTGCTGAACTAATGAACTGTAACTCCAGGTCCTTGTTAGCTGTACTCCTGTCACAGAACAGAACACGTCTGCTCAGAGTAATTGTGGGGTATTACACCTTCCTTTGTATTATTATAAGGCATAACATAATATAACATAATGGTGTTTAGTGCGTCTGTCTCACTGATCCAGTGTCATGAGTTTGATCCTTTCCTTTGGTGTCTGTATGTGGGGAGTTTGCATGTTCTTTCTAGATTTAAAGGTTTTTTTATCAGGAGCTCTTGTTTCCTCCCACCAACTAAAGACATGACACTGGCTCTTCTAATTTATGTTCACTTGTAATTTTTATGACATCAGCAGTGATCGCAAATTACTGACAACCGAGTCTGATTGTCCTTGGCTGTTGACATCCTTCCCAAACTTTGGTTATACATTCCATTATGTCTCCAAGGAGGTGTTTTTGTGGCATTTCATGGGACAGAGAAAATGCAAATGCATTTTTGCAATTCCCAAAATGCCAAAGGTGCAACCATTTGTCAGTAAAAAAGAGGCCTGGGTACATCATTGTACTAAGAGACATCTTAAACTAAAGTGCCATGTGTGGGGGTATATTGAGTTTTTTTTTTTAAGATGCCAGCTAAAAGGAGAGTAATCCTCAGAAATACAACTTCTACCTCTTTCAACACTGAGAGTCCATGGCAAAACATAATGTATGTATATAAACAGACAAAATATTCAACATATAGTACATCTTTCTGAGCAACACACAGTAACATTTTTTTTGTTCCTTTTTTTATTGGGGTCACTGGAAAGAAAAGTTTTCGGTCACTAACTTCCTCTATTAAATCGGTGATTTCTTGGCTGGGGATGGTTTTTACAGAAAAAGACACCTTTATCCTGTCAGTTCTCCTGCGGACTCTGTTATTTGTATTTCTTCAATTAAATTGTGGGCACAGGCTGTGGAACACGTATTTCTACTGATAAAAAGTGTTGTATGGTGTGAGAATTGATACCAAGGAGGTGGTAGAAAACAGTAGTTTCAAATCGTAACTGGTAACCTGGTAACAGATGTGTGTTTTGAATATTGCAATGTGTTTTGGTGTCTCATTATATGTTATTCATATTTGGAAGTTATGCACAGTTTGGAATTAAAGTATGTTTTGTTAAAAATAACCCAGTGTTTGTTCTGTCAAGATGAGACTTTTTTTTTCTCTTTGTTCAAATTTATTGAAAATTAAAACGTAATAATAGCTAATGTACTCTAAATATGAATTAATGTTCTTTGTTTTTAATTCCAAATCTGTTTAATCTCTTCAAATCAGTTTGAATACGTGAACTACAGTATTGGTTCATTGTACATTGCCAGTTGGCAGATGTTTTATGATTCTTATGGGACACCATTCATGACTAACTCTACATCCATCCATTTTCTAGCCACTTCTCCAAAATTCAGGGCTGTGGGGCAGCTGGAGCCTATCCCAGCAACCCACGGGGTCCGCCCTGGATGGGACACAAGACACACAAAAACACACTTGCACCAGGGCCAATTCCCCCCCCCCCAAAAAAAAAAACAACAATTAACTTTCCAGTATATTCCTGGACTGTCAACACAATCATTAAAAGAGAAACTAAAAATTAAGAAGTAGCATTTAGTAGCCTGGGCCCAGACTAGCTCTGCTGGTAGAGCATGAGACACATAATCTTACGGTAGTGGATTTAATAATAATAATAATAATAATAATAATAATAATAATAATGATGATAATAATAATAACATCACTCCATTAACCCTTTACAATTTATTGCATTAGGAATCATCTTTTCGCATACCCCAGCATGCTCTCCATGAGACACACAGACACACAGATAGGGAGAGAGTGTGTCCCACGTCAGGTCCTAGGTCTTCCATGTTGGAGGTTGGGCACAATAACCCTGTCCTGCAAAAACCTAATTTTATGGTAACATGCTGGAAGGGATAACAGGCAAACATCCATCCATTTAGCAGCCTAGGGCCTACAGCTGCCCAGGGAACTAGTCAATTAAAATGATATTTTAAAAGCATTTGAGAATGGTCAAATAAGTTGTGGGTTCGTTTTGCTCATCCCACTACAATTACAAGTACAACATTTGATTTTTTAAAATAGAACTGTAATTTATTCCCAAGGTAGGTCAACTGAGAACAAATTCGCATTTATAATGATGACCTGGAGAAGACCTATTTACACAACAGGGCTTTCAGTCGGGCATTCTGAGGACAGTACCTTGATCAAGGGCACAACCACAGTGTCCCACCTAGAATATGAAACTTGTGACCCCCTTGCCCATCCAGAGTCCATCCATAAACCTTGCTTATTGTACTGGTAATTGAACGGCATGCCAACCCAGAGAATAAGCAGACCACCAACAGGAAGATTTCTTCAATGCCTGTTTCCCAAAACGGCCACTCAGTGTCATCAGGAGCCGAGATGGGATTTGTTGGCCAGGGCTCGCTTGGTTCTTGACATGCTAAGCCTTCTGCATGTTGCCATGGAGATCGGAGCCCTTAAAAAGACGCATATCTGGTTCAATATGTGAGCAGGTTGGGAGAACCAGTCCGTACCTCGTCCTTCTCTCTTCGCTGTCCCTGAGTCGATGCATAAAGACAAAATTGACAGTTCCAAACTGTGTAGTTGTGAAAATACAAAATAGCCAGTTCTATATTCATGAAGTAAAAAAGTTATTGAACAGAACAGATTATGAGAGTATTGACACTGGTGACTCCTACAAGCTCAACAAGCAAACCATGTGATGAATGAAGCATAAATTAAATGTAGGTGCATTTAAGGCTATAAATAAGAGGCAAATCTTTACAAGGAGAGTTGTAGGAGTGTGGGACAAAATGTTCATCCATACTGTTAAGAGCATATTTCCCAGGGACTTTCAACAATTGGTTCATGGATAATCACAGATCTATGAAATATTCTCAAGAACAATAAGACCAAGAAAAAGATTATTTAACCTCTTACACATTGTTTATATTCACTGAAGTACCAGAACTATTTAAGTATAATTGCATAAAGATGAGAGATGCAACTATATGCTAAATTAATTTTAATTGCACTTAAAAAAACTATCTTTATATTACAGGCATTAACAAGTGAAGGCTAAGGTCTTTACAGTTTAAAAGAAATGAATAAAGCCTTTATACAATATCATAGAGGCTACTTAAAATCCTCCTTAATAAATATCTTGTTTATCAAGGGCCTGTGACCTAAACAGTGTTTGTGGACACTTTTCATTTGTTTTTATAAAGAAACAAAAAAATGAACCCAGCCTCATAGTTTGTTATAATCTTGTCCAACACTTTTATATGCAAATTAATGTATTCTGTATATTTTTTTATTTTCTCCATCAATACAATAATATTAGCCAGTGATCAGTCACGTATTCTTTATACTACACATTTGCTATATTACGTTTTGCTATTGGTTTCACTAAGTTAGTTTTCTTTTCAGTTCCTTTTGGCTTCTGTTGTGGAGTGTGTGCACTGTGTACTACACGTTTCCTCAGAAGCACTCAGAAATTAAACTCAATTATTAACGGTGTGCAAAAATGACTCAATACAACATAAAGGAACACTCAATACTTAAAATTTAAATAGTGTTTTATTTAAAATGTACTTTAAAAAAAAAGGTCAACCCAAACCCATCCCTTAAATCCCAGATCATATGAGTGACAAAATGGTTGGCACTTGCTACTATCCCATTTCCTCCTCATCTCCTGCCCTCCCCAGATCTTGACTCTCTGTGCGCTTGTTCTATGCTGGCCCGCGTAGTACTAGATCACTAAAGGATGTGATCAGCTCATAATGCGATTTCTCCTCTTCCGTCAGCTCCACATTGCCAGGCCTCACAATCACAGCCACGTTCAATCCCGCCTCCTCAGCTGCCTTCGCCTCTGCAACAACACAGAACATCCTCACCAACGCTCTCAGGCAGTGTCTGTCCCCTAATCTAGCCCAGCCCCGCGCGGGTATCAGGCAGGAAAGGAGTAGGACTTAGTGCCGAAGGGAGTCAGACATTTTGGGATTGACTGCAAAATGGACTTTTCTGTGGTGTAGATACGTGGTGGAGTTTTATAGAAAATACCTAAGCAAAACATTTCCCTCCTTCATTTACATGCATACATGACCAGCTGTAATCAGATTTGCTGGTACATAACCACAACAAAAACATGTGGAATTTGAAGTTGGCTGCTTTGGGGGTACTTCGATGTTAACCCGCTGTTAAGCAACGTGTCCTGAAATGAATATCTTCTTTGAGCGTGCTGTGCAGAGTGCGTAGGAGAGTGGTGTGTGACCTAGGCTACATGTTTAAGATTTCGGATTGTTGGGAAAAAGACAAGAAGAATGAAGAATTTATTAACTGGCAATGGTATGAATATGAGTCACCAACCAGCTGAGGGTGACAACGGCTCTCCCTACTGCCAACTTCAACCAAGCCGCACTTTTCACAGAGTGGATTTGACCACCGATTGGTGCATCTGGTCTCGAAATTGGGATCGAGACCAAAACCAAGAAAGAATAAAATGTCCTTTCAGCTGATATTTAATCTAAGACAGAAGCAGCACGTAACTCCACAAGATTGATTAATTCACAGTGCATTGCTTGTGATTATGACAAGGTACCCTCTTGACACATCTTGGAGATAAGGAAACAGCTCCAGAGGGCCTTGAAGACCTTAAGGGCACACAACTAATTGTGCCTTCTTTTTAAATTTAAACATTTGGTATAATGTGTCTGGAAACAAGCTTGATACATAATAAGATAAGATCACTTTATTAGCCATATACAATTTCTTGCATTAGGAATTTGTCTTTTTTGCACACCCCAGCTTGCTCTCCATGAGACACACAGGCACACAGACGGGGAGTGAGAAGCTTGGAATCAGAGCGCAGGGTCAGCCATTTATACGGCGCCCCTGGAGCAGCTGGGGTTTAGGGCCTTGCTCAGGGGCTCAACGGAGTAGGATTCCCCTGCCGGCCCAAGAGTTGAACCAGCATCCTTCCAGCCACAGGCGCAGATCCTTAGCCACAGTGCCACGGCTCATGTTAAGAAGGTGCCTTCTGTGTCATTAAGTGTTTCAGTGGCCTTAAATCAGTTTTCTCATTCTGCATCTAGAAGACGCACAGCAACATTTTATTCCAGGGAACATGAATTGTAATGAGAAAAAAATATATATTAAAACATAGCTGCAGTACTCTTACAGTTGGATTGGGGAGCTGTGTCAGTATTTACTGGCTGCACAAGAAGAAGTACAGGCAACTTGTCGTGAATGGTTACTGTGCTGAAAATATAAACAAGCCACAACCTTTCGGCTGTTGAGGCTTTCAGGCTCAAGCGTGAGAACGGAAGGTAACAGTTATGTTAAGCACAGGAGAACAGGACAAAGCATGAGAGAATGAGAATCGGCAGCTGCTCTCAACAGAATGCCAGTGCACCTCAGAGCCAGAATCAAATCATATGCTAATCAAACCTAATCAGCATATTTTTGGGAACAAGGAAAATAACACAGCAGGTTAACCCACACAAGCCTGGGAAGAACATGCAAACTCCAGACAGATGGCTACCCAAGGACAGAAGTGCTTCCTTCAGTGCTGCCGCCACAAAATTAGAGCAGTCGATTTATTGTTAGTATTACACGGCGGTTATGATGTTTTTGATTTCTGTTGTCTTTATACCTTTGCCGTCTCGCAAAGTTACAGAGGGCTAACTGAAGTGAAAACAACACAGTGTATTGGATTTAAATTAGTATATCCTTTATCTAGCTGAACAGGAAAGGAGACGAAGATGCACACTAAAACTGTGTAAATGTTTGCCTTGAATTAATAACAAAAAAAAAACAAAATAGACCTGAGAAAGGAGGTGCGAACATATTTTTTGGTGTATTTGAAACCAGATGTGATTTTTTAAATATTCTAGCAGCTAGCATTAATGTCAACATTTGCATTTTATTAAACCACAGCTATATAAATTTGCTTTGTACTAGGATAACACTCCCCTCAGTGAAAAACATTTACCTTGTAAGGCAAACCCACCAATCTGATTAGATGAGATAAGTGCAGGAGATTGGGCTAATGAAAGTGTATTTTGCTTGAAAGGGAGGAGAGCTTAGACTCTCTGAGAGCACTGGCAGCAAGCACTGTTGTGTAACAAAAGCATTGCAATATCACAACTCCAACTGGGGACCCATCTTAAGAAGCTGGATTCATTTTCTAATGGGAATTTACACACCTCGTGTAACATCAGTCAGGAACATAATTTCTTCAGTACTACACCGAATTCTTTCAGCAATCCTCCTGTAGCTTTGGCTTTCCACTTTAGCTCCAATGTTAGTATCAAAATGGCCATCAAAGAGCTGTAAGATTTAAAACAAGATAAAAAAAAAAACATTTGCCCATTTGATTCAAGTGCAGATCGTTTATTTTTCATTGCATATACAGTGAACTTTTTGGAAAATTGGAAATTATTTTCACCCATCACGCTGACGTACTTTGGGAACCCGCTATCAAATGAACATGCGACTGTGGAAACGAATGTTAAATTTAAACCTTCATCAGTAATTTATCAAAATGGGATTCGATAACAGAGTTGGGGATTTGGGAAGTTATTTTAAGATTAATGAAAAAATAAATGCAAAATGTTAATCACAATGCAGCACTGATTTGCTGCATTATCACTGCAATGTTTGCTCACACACTACAAGGCTATCTAACCAAGAACATTTAATGCTTTTAGGTGTCTGTAATAAAGTGCTACAGTATAACTACCTGCAGGAAACTACTCTGTGGTTTGAATTAATATCCAAAACCTTTATTTTTTGCGCAGTACAAGTCTGACATTTTTTTACGAATTGTATTAAAAAATAAAAGCAGAGTCTCTTTTGCACCATCACAATGGGACACACAGTTATGACAGGTTGAAGTCAAAGCTGTTCCAAATTTCATTTCTGCACTGTCAGATTTATTTTGTAATTAGCGGTGTTAGGACAGATGTTCAACAATTAATATTAAAAACTAGTAGGCTTGATTATTTGGAGTTAGAAAAGCAGTAAATGAAAGGTGTGTCATCAGTACCTCCCCAATACTGGCAGAGACTTGGCAGTGATCAACAGATCATCCCAAACTCTTACACAATAGAATAAACCCATACTGTTCAACTCAAGTCCTGCAAAATGACTGAATGAGAAAGAAAACAAACACCTCAATTTGTTTTACTAAACATTTGTTTTTGAGTTATTGAAACCGTGCCCGGGCAATGTGACAACTGAAAGTCTGTGTAGTGGCAGACTCTATGCTGTGCTACAGTTCTGTGCACACCTTTCTCACACTAAGTTTGTATGGTTTAGATCTGAAAACTTTTAATCATGGTACAACTGGTTTCCAATACATACCTGGAGCAGCTTTTTTAAGATCTGTGGTCCTAAAAACTTTATCAGACAGCACAAACTGTTGGATACCGATCATGTCCAGGAAGAAGTCATTCAAAATCAGTGCATTAGAGCTCTAAAATGAAGCTGGAACCACACTTCACAACCAGAAGCATTCATGAAATGCCCAATTACAGACTGTATCTTTGCCACTGACATTTCTGTCCACTCTCTTAGACTACCTACACAGAAAGATTTATTAAACAGAAATCACTGAGGGTGATTCCAGGAAAATTCAATTAAAGAAGGGTTTGGAACAACTGAGTTTATGTTTGTTGATAAGGGTTTTATTGAAATGTCCACTCTTAAAACTCACCTCTAATAGATTACCTTTCACAGAGTAACCAAATAGCAGTTTCTGGGCCTCCACACTGCCGGAAGAATAAATATACACCTTCAATCCTTCCTGTCTCCACCTTGTGATCGCTGGCACAACATCTTCGTACACCCTGTTTCATAAACACAGCGGAACAACAAACACTTGGGTCTGGAGGGGTTCTGCCGGGTATTGAAATGGTATTTTTAAATTTGTTTCACTAATCACGTTGTGTGAATATTGAAATAAAGGCCATCTCGATTATTTTACGGTTATTCAGACATATGCAACCGAACCCCACGAAATAATAAAACCAAGAATTTGTTAGGCAATCCAACTTGAAATGAAAACATACAGTACTAGCACTCATTTGTTCAGAAGAAGCGAGATATAGTGTCCACACCCTTAAGTAGTAAAAATAGAAACAAATTAAAAAAATATAAGCCAAGAAGCACATCACCTTGTTCCTCCAGTCTGACAAAAGACAAACGTGGTGATATGACACCTCTCACTACTTCCCCTGCTCTCCTGTTACAGCTTTTCTCTGTAAGTGATTTTAAGTGATTCCTGACTTGTAAGTGTTGACAGCCAGCGATGTTGCTCAAAGTTAAGTGATAAGCCAGCAGCCATATCACTCTGCAACTCACAACTGGCAACCCACTGAAGCTTAGCAGGTGTGAGCCTGGTCAGTACCTGGATGGGAGACCTCCTGGGAAAAACTAAGGTTGCTGCTGGAAGAGGTGTTAGTGGGAGTAGCGTGGGGCGCTCACCCTGCGGTCTATGTGGGTCCTAATGCCCTAGTATAGTGACGGGGACACTATACTGTAAACAGGCACTGTCCTTCGGATGAGACGTAAAACTGAGGCCCTGACTCTCTGTGGTCATTAAAAATCCCATTTCTCGAAAAGAGTAGGGCTGTAACCCCGGCGTCCTGGCCAAATTTCCCATTGGCCCTTACCAATCATGGCCTCCTAATAATCCACATCTATGAATTGGCTTCATTACTCTGTTCTCCTCCCCACTGATAGCTGATGTGTGGTGAGCGTGCAGGTGGATGCTGCTCATTGGTGGTGGTGGAGGGGAGTCCCCATTACCTGTAAAGCACTTTGAGTGGAGTGTCCAGAAAAGCGCTATATAAGTGTAAGCAATTATTATTATAATCAAGTCAAGTCAACAAAAGAAGCCTGGCCAATCAACACATGCGTGCTCACTGCTACTCACTCGCCCTTGATCTTCCCCGTTGAGTAGGCAGACCTCCACATGTGTCCCTGGAGCTGCTTCAGTGCTGTAGTCTTCCTGTCTGATGCCATCTGCCAGAGCACATTGTCCACCACTTCTTGGATGGCCTTCTCCTCGTCTGTGTGTGCCGTCTGACTGAGGGAGTGCACGGGCCCGGCCCGGTGCTGCCGGGAGTCCTCCTCGGCCTGTGTCAACACAACAGCATGCACATCGTCTCCGAGCAGCAGCAGACATCCCCGAACCCGTCGGGACCAAGGAGGAGCCGGAGCTCCATGGCAACCACAGGTTAGGGGCCCTGTGGTGTGTTAAGCATTCAGACCTGAGGTTATAACAGCTGTGCCATGCGTCATGGACAGCTATGAAGTAAGTTGAATGAATGCCAGAAATCTCCACTGGGCTTCCCCAACTTTTTCTTAGACACCGACAGACGTTTAGTGGAGTTTCAGATATCTTCGTGACTTTGTATTGAAAACAATGTTACAGACCTGAACGTGCGTTTCTCAACGTCACCCATTATCTTGAACATGAGAGACATAAATCAAATGTTATGCACAGCGGAACCTCAGTCCCAAAAATCCAAAATAAAAACAACCAAAAAATAAAACTTTAATGATTGCTAAGAGACAATGACTAAGAAAACAAATCTGGGCATTTCATACGGGTGAAAGGTTTTTTTTTGGGGGGGTTCAGTTATAGTACTTTAAACAAGTACCCAGCCCTCATCCCCTTTTCCACACTTAAGAAGCTTACAGCTTGGAATTTTATTTTTTTAGAATGGGAATTTTTATTTGCGAGCATAATTTCATCTTCACAGAGCCCACCCCCCAAAAAGAATGTAAACCATAAATTAATCAAAATTAATCAACTGAAATATCATCATTCAAGAAGTATTCATCCTCCTTGGTCAATACATACTTAGACCACCTCTTGCAGCTATCACAGTCAGTAGTCTTTTTGCATAAGGCTTTATTATTTTTGCACACTGAGGTGGAGCAATATTTGCCCATTCCTCCTTACAACATTGCTCATACCTGGGAGTGGCAGTGGACAGCAAATTTGAGGTCTTGCTACAGATTTTCGATGGGATTCAGGTCAGGACTCTTGACTGGGCCACCGAAGGACATCTATTTTCTTCACTTTAAGCTACTCCAGTGTTGCTCTTGCAGTGTGCTTTGGATCATTTTCCCGTTGAAAGACAAACTTCCGCCCCAGGTGGAGTTTTTTGGCAAAGGGTAGAAGGTTTTTGTGCAGGATTTGTCTGTAATGTGTACCATTCATCTCCCCATCCATCTTGACAAGCTTGCCAGTCCCTGCAGCTGAAAAGCATCCCCATAACATGATGCTACCACCCCCATACGTCCCGTGGGGATGGTGTTACCTGGCAGGTGTGTAGTGTTTGATTTGTGCCACACACACCACTTAGCATTCAGGCCAAAAGGTTCCACTTTAGTCTCAACAGACCAATAGAAGTTCTGACTAATCTCTGCAGTACCCTCTAATTGGCATTTTGAAAACTCTGTGGGCAAGGATATGGATTTTTTTCCCTAGCCAGGGCTTCTTCCTTCCTTCCTCCTATGAAGGCTCTTTTTGTGGAATACCTTGGGAGATTGCTGACTCATGTACATTATCTTCCATCGCAGCCACTGGCTTCTGTAGCTCATTCTGCCTCACAGTTGTCCTTGCAGTACCTTCTCTGGTAAGCGCACTTCTTGTCCAACAACTACGTTTAGGTTGCGTTCTGATCTAGGCAGTGTGGCTGTAGCTTCATACTTCTCTCACTTCTTTACAATGGACTGCACTGACCTGCGAGGGACGTTCAATGCCTTTGCAATGGTCTTGTAACCTTCCCAAGATTTGTGCTTGTCTATAATCACACCTGTGACTTCTTTGGAATGCTCTTTCGTCTTCATTTTGAAAAAGGCTCTACCATATTGTAGGACCTCAGAGAGAGAGAGGGATCCTTATGTTTACAAAACAACAGGTGATCCACTAGTTCCTTACACAGGTGGAGTCAATCAACAAATTGTGTGACCTTTGGGGTTATGTACAGCACCTGTGCAGATCTGAGCTTGCAGTTACAAGGGGTATGCAAGCTTTTTAAAATGTGTTTCTCATTTTTTTTTGCACATTGCACAAATGTTTTGGAACATTTATTTTGTTTGGACATGGTATCCAATACTTTGATCTATTTCAGATTTAGACTCTGCGGCAACAAAATGTAAAGTGTGTTGGGGGTTGAATACTTTTTCAAGTCACTTCATCCACCAGGGAAATTGAGCTCATCTATAATGCAGACTCGTACACTGCCGCAATTATCTCCTGTCACATCAGTTCTAAAAACACCACAATAAAAGGAGATAGTTATATGCCTTGCCTGAGATTATAAAAAAACAAATGACTGGCTGTTCCTTTCCAGCACCCAGCCACAGGGCTGAAATGCATTTTGATGCCTCACATTTTCCCAGACAAGTCTTTTCTGGGTTAGGATATGAATAATGCAACATTTCTGCAGAACCGCAAAAGAAAAAAAAAGATGAATGCTGCACCCGATGAGGTCTGCTTTTTTTCCCACTCCCTCTACAGATCATTATGCACATGACAGAGCATATTAGAGCCAGCCACCCTCAATTCCCCAAATCTCATGTCAACTCAACAACCCCCTGGAAAACTGTCAACCATCATGTATGACCTAGTTATGGTGTGGACTAAATCTTTAAAGATGGTCTCAAGAGAAAGCAATGCCTTTTTTTCCCCATTATTTCATGACTTGCAGATAAAAGCCTGAGACTAGCATTAATAATTACACAACCCAAAGCTGAAACCCGGGTCAATGCGCCTGTGTAAAAAGGGCCTTACATAACAAGATCATTTTTTGGTGGTGGTGTTGTTTGTTAAAGGCAATTGCACTGCTGTTGTTACACAACTCATTGATATTTATCTGTAAGTCATCTGCACCTCATTTTTTGTTTTAAAAAAAAATCATATAAAGACTTAAAATTTCTCCTTCTAAATATACTCTAATACAAGCCATTTCAGGTATTGTTTAATCAAATAACCAGGCAGTTTACGTATATAGAATAAGCTCTCTGTATTTCAGGTGTTGGGAACTGAAAACACTGTGTTGCAAATACAGGTAGCTTCTTCAATATTATGCACGGATCCCCGGCAACGTTAAAAACGGGGAAAAAATTAGCATCTCTCTTGGCACAACATCTGGTTTAGGTCTTTAAAAATAAATCTGCGACAGGTACCGACTTGTTCCCCCCCTTTCAGTGTCTGACGGTACTGGTGTTTGTCCACACCGTATGGCAGCTACAATTGTCCGGCGCGCCCTAAACATCACTAGACATTTTCATCAACATGATGATTTAAGGCTGCGCTTGCTGCATCTGCTACCGCGGTATGTTTAGATGAAGTACACAAAAAAAAACAAGCCTCCAATTTCAGTGTAATGATTCACCAATACCTTACTGTTTTTACTACTAAGGTATAGCTGCTTGGTTTATCTGCCGACTTCTAAGAGGCCAAATGTACAAGAAACCAAACGCTGTCAATAAGCAAACGTGCACAATCTTGTCCCCCAGACGCAACACCCCTGGCCACTCCTGCTACGATTCAAACCGCTATTGTGATGTATAAATGTGCAGCTCCTCTTCTATTAGACTCCACTGAATTTAATGCTGTCTGGGGGAATGGCTTGCAGGCAGTGACTCATTATTATCAGCACCCATACATCAGATGAACTAGGGCTCGGATTGCGTCAGCAGCCCGCACCGGCGCACGCTCCTACCTGCTTTTTCAATAGTTGAACATCTTGCTTGCATTCATCCTCCTCCCAGTGTGCAGACAGGTACTCGTGTACGTTGTCCTTGATAAATGGAAATAAAATGTCCTGTAAGCAAATCAAAACAAACGATTTACAGCCGCAATGTAAAAAATACTGAATAAAAGCTTACCGCGGGGGATGTATTTCCTGGGAATAGCGAGATGATTTGATCGGAACGGTTGGTACCTTGACAAACGTGATTGGTGTAGTGGTTCCTTCTATGTCTAGCAAAAGCACGCTAGTGTTCGCAGGGATTGCTACCTTTGCCATTTTCCTGTACTCAAGACACACAAAATAATCTCTTGGAACGCACTTCACGTGTGCTCTGTCAATCCCTTTAAAACCAAATTAGAAGGAAAAAAGACCAGCTGTATTAGTAGGCCGACAGAAAATCTTAAAGCTCAACCCTTGCGCAGCTCGAAATATCGCGAGACGGCGAAGGGCGGGCGCTTTAAAAATCAGGGAAAAGAACCAATTATTGTCAAAAATGTATTCTCTCTCTCATCCTAGCGTTAATCCCGCATCAACAGGGTCCGCTTGTCGGCACGCCCGTCTCCATTTGGTGGTTTGAACCAAGTCTTTGAGCCGACGTTGCCGTTGAATGCGACCGAGTATGTTCGAACCGGCGCGTTGATCCGCCTGCCGCCGGAGGGGGGAGAACAAAGTAATGTAGCCAATTCATAGAGGGGGATTATTAGGAGGCATGGGAAATTTGACCAGGACTCCGGGGTAACACTACTCTTTTCGAGAAACACCCTGGGATTTTTAATGACCACAGAGAGTCAGGACCTCGGTTTTACGTCTCATCCGAAAGACGGCGCTTGTTTACAGTATAGTGTCCCCGTCACTATACTGGGGCACTAGGACCCACACGGACTGCAGGGTCCGTGAGGGCCCCCTGCTGGCCCCAAAAACACCTCTTTTTGCAACCTTAGTTTTTCCCAGGAGGTCTCCTATCCAGGTACTGACCAGGCTCACACCTGCTTAGCTTCAGTGGGTTTCCAATTGTAAGTTGCAGGGTGACATGGCTGCTGGCTCATTGTCAAAAATGTATTGAGAGATGTAATATCAATATGTTATTCAATTATTCTGCTAAAATAAGCTTTCAGTTCCATACTGCCACGCAGTGTTGCATTGTATTATGCACTTCAAAGGGTCGAGGAAGTATGTCTTCTACGGTCAAATGTGTTCTCTGGGGGGAACTTTTTTGTTCAGTGGGAAGTTCTGAATACGGATATCAAACCTAGAAATATACGCATAACGATGCGACACAGTGCAGTCAACGTACAAGTGTAAATCTTGTGCAAATCTTTTGGGTAGAATGAACATGTTCATTCTTTTTGTAATTCAACACTGATTGCAAATCTAAGGACAAAGAGAAAAACGAACTTCAGTGCTTAACAAGACATTAAGGACATTTTGCTTTTGTGGGAAACATTTGCAACACAAATACCAACGCCATTGACATTAAAATGGATCCCAATTTTGTAATAATAAACTTCCATCCATCCATTTTCTAACCTCTTTATCCAATTTAGGTCACGGGTAATAACTTTTTTAATGTAAATGAAGGACCGCAAAAAAGATTAGAATACTTTAGCAGCATGACATGCTGAAAAGATGTAAGTAAAAGACAATTATTAATATTAAATGCACGTACACAAAAACAGAAGGTATTATGAGCCCGAAGGGGAGTATTTCTCTCTGGTTTCAGTTTTGATTTCTCTGCTGTACTACTTGGCTTTGGAAACTTATTTGTGGTCACTTTTACAATTTATCAATATATCACCCTGCAACTCACAACTGGTGGCCCACTGAAACTCAACAGGTGTGAGCCTGGTCAGTACCTGGATGGGAGACCTCCTGGGAAAAACTTAGGTAGCTGCTGGAAGGTGTTAGTGGGGCCAGCAGCTTATGTGGGTCCTAATGCCCCCGTATAGTGATGGGGACACTATGCTGTAAAAAGGCACCATCCTTCAGATGAGATGTAAAACTGAGGTCCTGACTCTCTGTTGTTAAAAATCCCAGGGAGCTTCTCAAAAAGAGTAGGGGGGTAACCCCACTGTTCTGGCCAAATTTCCCATTGGCCCTTATCAATCATGGCCTCCCCATCTATGAATTGGCTTCATTACTCAGATCTCCTCCCCACTAACAGGTGAGTGTACTGGTGCACTATGGGTGTCATTGCATCACACTGGTGTATGCTGCAAATTGGTGGTAGAGGGGAGTCCTCATTATCTGTAAAGTGCTTCGAGTGGAGTGTGTAGAAATTGTAAGTAGATATCATTATTATATCTAAGTTTTCATTCTCTGGATAGTATTGAACTGTCCTCCAGTTGCTGGTACCTTTCTCTACCAGGCCACAGGCCGCAGTGTCAGGACTCTCGGAAGAGCTGTGCACAAGAATGTACTTACTGCACTGCTTGGGAAGGTTCCAGCACTTTCAGGTGAGAGTAAACTGCTTTGTTGCAGGTGGACCCGAATTGAGCTGTTCACTTTCTTATGTAGAAAAAGAGAGGAGTTTCCGCACTGCAATAGTTGCAAGAGGAATGTATGTGTGTACAGGCACAGGACCTCATCACAGAGCTGGAGCTGCTTTCCTGTTTATTTAGTACCACTCTACTGTGTACTCTGTGTTCAGGGCCGGGCCTCAGCCTTCTTCTATTAGAGAGTTTAGGATACTGACACCGTCAAGCAAACTTGGCAGTGAATTGCTGGGAGCTTAAATACAGTCAGTTAAAAAAAACAGTATCTGAGCACTTCCTCTTTTAGTGTTTAATAGCCATTTGGCAGCTTCCTGATGAACTTAAAGTGATCTCAAATCAGATGTTTATGACAGTATGATATATTTGTGCATAATAAAAAGAGAATTGAATTGTTTCTTTCTGATAATTTGAGTTTTCACCCACAATACCATGATTTTGTATTACCAAAATACATAATTTACAAAATACATAATTTCTTGAAAAAGTATGGTTATTACTACTTTAAGCATGGCGGACACATGACACATACAAATTAAAATATTTTACATCGGAGAGAAATATTAGGAGACATAATGTCTATTGGTTAACTGCAGCTAAACTATCCAAAATAGTATTACCATTCATTTATTTATTATTTATATGTAATTTTTTGTTTAAATTGAATGAAATAAGGACGTATTTAAATCGAGTAATAATGTGGACCTATAAACTATAACATAAATGAACTTTAGTTAAATCGTCATGTCACGTGTATATAGTAAATCTGCTCGATATATGAATATGAATATCAAAACTAATACTAATATTACAAGAAAACAGTAATGATGTGTTTGTCTGTATTATGTTCAATTTACTTGAACATTAGTTTTTTTACGCACAAACCTAGCACTGTATGCTTATATTGTGGAGTGAGTTTTGTGTTACTTTGTCTTCCGGTTGGGAAAAGAACACTGAAGAAGACGAGACAATATGGCGTAAGATCTACCAGCCCGCTGAGCTGCGGCCGTCGTGTCCTGGTTGTATACTCATATATTTTATGAGTACATGCCCCGTTCCTGGCGTAATAAACTCGTTTCAGTGTTACTTGTATATCTCATAGCCCTTTTTAATACCCGTGCTTACACTTATATGATTATTATTCATATAAACGATATAAATAACCAGGTCAATGAAATAAAGTCACTAAAAAAGCATGATACTTTGTTTTTTTGCTTAAACATTTTTTTGGGCTAAAAGGTGAAACGAGAAACATTTAAATCGTTGCTTTGCGTTGGAAAGGACATTTGAGGTTTCCTTCTTTATTTACTGGTTGTTTGTCTCGTCCTTCCGCTTAGCAGCGGGCTGCCGCAGCAGGCGCCGCGCGCCCGCCCCGGCTTCCCGCGCCCTGATTGGCGCAGCTACCGTCACGCGACAACATCCCCGCCTCGCTCCGCCTCGCGCTCAGCCATTTTACTCAACGCGGTGGAGTGTGTGCGCGCGGCTTGCGACTGTAACTTCATAGAGACCCGCGGTGATCTTTTTCATTTGATTTCGATACAGTTTCCTCACTCGTCCAAAAAAAAAACAAAACAAACAACAAAAGATGGAGACCGAAGGACAGGTTGATTTTAGCATGGAGGAATTTCCTGAGGGATCCAAAATAAACGCCAGCAAAAACCAGCAGGATGATGGGTGAGAACAAACTACACCAAAGATGGCGGAACCACAATATCCGAAGAATATTACCGTGAAAATGCCTAACGTTACCCGTAATACGTGTATTTTGTGATGAAAAGCGATGTTTTCGGTGGTATTGTGTCGGGTTTATATTTCTAGACGAATTTATGGAGAGATTTGGCCTCCCTTTCCGCTGATGGCCACGGCGGCAGGAGGCACCGTTCCTGAGCTAATTTGATATTTTACAGTTTGCTTCGACGCTGACGTTTAGAAAAAAGCTGGCACAGAAACTGGCAACCCAGGTTGCTGTTTTTAGTTAACATAGCAACTCTGTAGTTCGAAGAAAAGCGTCTCGATGACGTCACCCGGCCTAGCGTGGCCGGTGTCTGGAGCCCAGACGGAACTGCTCGGAAACCGAAAACCAAAACTGTATTTTAATGTGTATACTAAGTCTGTACTGCCGTCATGTTAAAGGGGGGTTTTGTTTTTCTGGATGTTTGTGTTGTGTCGATCGAAGTAGCTCCTCTTCTTAATTAAGGAGCGATGCGAGACGTGCATTTTCGAATCCGAAACGAATATAAAACAACAGCACAACCTGTATTTCCACTTCGCGCTTGCTTGCTGGATGGGCCTACAGAGTACTACTGTCTCTGACGCTCCTGCGATGGGAGGGGTTTCGCACTGACCTACTTCCCTCAGCAAGTCAAGAGCGTTTTATTGGCGCGCAATTCCGTGTCAATACTTGCAGGAGATCGCGGGGTTTAGCCGCAGGATAACTATCATAATTCTTACCTTAATCGCATCATCACGATTTAAGGCGATTATCTTTTTGTACTGGAGATCATAAAAGATGACAAGAAGTCATCTTTCAAAAGCATATTTAACATTTGTAATCCAGCGGGAAAAAAAAACTTTCCTTAGCAGTATTAAAAACGAGGTGTTGCTGATGTTGTCTTAATAGAACACGTAACGCTCGTTTAAATTTAATGATTCCCATAGAGACGTTTGATTTCTTGGAAGAAGCTGGATTCTGATATGCAAGTACTCCAATAAGGATTTCATGCATGCCTAATGAACATGTTTTGCTCGGTAGTGCAGTACTTCCTAGACGTTGTACGATGTTGCACTCGGGGAGTGAATCATTTTTGTGTGAAGTCCTTTTGTGATGAATGTGCTCTCGTTGCTAGGCGCTATAACTATTTATAAAGCACATGGTATCAATCTGGCGGTCTTTAAAGGGATCCATGGACTTGTAGAGCAAGGCTGCCTGGGCTCCAGCACATGTGTTGGGGGAGGGGTTTTTTGGTCCTCATGGGTAATGCAAGTGCTGTCAGGTTAGTTGAAAACGGGTAGCAGCTGCTCGAAGGTGTTTCAAATGTGCTAGGCACATGGTGGGTTGTTACCGTGCAACCAAAACATCAGGGGTAATGTATTTATATCAGTTATGCCTTTTCTTCACTTGCAGCTCATTTTACAGTGTATAGTTATTGGTGGTGCATACTGTTTTTCTTTAAGGTTTAATGTTCCATTCCCATTAGTAGACTTGATACCTTTCATTTCTGTGCCCTATTTTAGATTTCAAACTGAATACAGGGTTTTCTTATGCTCTGTTAAAGTGTTTGCTTGTAAGGTTGTCCAGTTTGGCAGAATGTTTGATCATTTTGTACTGCTTACCCTTGTTTATTTACAGGAAGATGTTTATTGGCGGACTCAGCTGGGATACAAGCAAGAAGGATCTTACAGATTACTTGTCAAGGTTCGGGGAGGTACTGGACTGTACGATTAAAACAGACCCAATGACTGGGAGGTCCAGGGGCTTTGGCTTTGTCCTCTTCAAAGATTCTGGCAGTGTGGATAGGGTAGGTACATTTTCCTTTTGGATTACAGGTGTAAATTTAACATGATTAAAATACGGCATCTTTACAGCTAAAAATACTAAAATTCATGGGTAAAGCAAATAAACTGATACTTCTTGTGTTATTCCTGCTAACTACTGACAGCAGGGATAGGTGTGTTGCAGTAACAGCTGTTTTACTGTCTGATAAAGTAGTAGTTTGATTTTAGTCTATAGGTACTATTCTGCCAATTTCCTATCAATCCACTTTGTATGATGGTATACAAATGTTTTAAAATGGAAGATGCTTAGATTCACTTGGTAGTCTTATTGCTGTAAATGATGGAGAAGTAACAAGGTCTATGTGGATGTACTATTGTTTGCTAGGTGCTGGAGCTGAAGGAACACAAACTGGATGGAAAACTGATTGACCCAAAGAGGGCTAAAGCAATGAAGGGCAAAGAGCCACCCAAGAAAGTGTTTGTGGGAGGATTGAGCCCAGAGACATCGGAAGATCAAATCCGAGAATATTTTGGAAGATTTGGAGATGTAAGTTATACTAACTGTTGAGTGAAAGAAAGATGTACAAGTCATTCTATATTGAACTTTTTTAAAGTCATAAAGTGTGTTGGAGCCGTAAATTGTGTACACCTGTGTTGTCTGGTTTTTGAATTGGCGCTCCAAATGATAAACGAGGTGTCTTTCGTTCTGTTTGTAGATTGACAGCATTGAGCTCCCCATGGACACCAAAACAAATGAGAGGAGGGGGTTCTGCTTTGTAACATACGTAGATGAAGACCCTGTTCAGAAGCTTCTGGAGAACAGATATCATCAAGTTGGATCAGGAAAGGTACTTGGATTTGATCTGGATAAAAAAACTACTCGAACACGCTTCATTGTAACTGGTTTTATTCTCAAATGACTGATTGGCCTAGGCAGCTTTGTCTCTGTAGCTAAGGGAATAGAAAGGGAAATGTTAATTCCATCTGCACATGAAGCTGTAACACAAGAACTCTTAATATTATTGTACTTGGTAACTGTGGACTAACTGATGTCTTGATCCTGTGTGTGCTTCATGAGAACTGTACTCAAGTCAGAACTTTGAGTGCACGTAGAAGTTTGTCTGGCTTGTTGACAGTTTGTTCACGCAGTTCTGGTGTTTGTGTACACAGTGCGAGATAAAGGTTGCCCAACCCAAAGAAGTGTACAGGCAGCAGCAGAGAGGAGACAGGGGCAGCTTTGGAAGAGGAGGTTCCAGAGGAAGAGGCCGGGGAGGTGTGTTCCACTTTTACTCATTAAACTCTATCATTCTTTTTCTGCTGTCCCTAAATTCCAGGTGCTCATTTTACAATCCACACATCCATATTTAAAAAGGTTGCAGGTTTCACAATACTTAGCACAATGTCACAAGTGGAATACGAAGTACATGTACAAAATCAAGAGCCAAATGATTTGCTAAATCTTGGTTATTTGCAGCATGAAGGTTAATCTGGATTGGAAACTTCACTGTCGGCAGTATTCAGTGAACATTTTAAAGTGCAACTACATTGTTTATCATGCTAAAAGCTTAAATACATCTTTTGCTTTTACAAAATTAGTGTAATCCCGTCTAATTGTTCTTAGAACGTGGCGTTCTGGAGTTCTGTTCCTTTCTGTATCATTACATCTGAATTGATTTCTCAAGAATTATCTGGCAGTTCTGTGCTTGACAAATTGCTCACTTTGAACATGTATTCATTTGTCCATCACAGGTCAAAGTCAAAACTATAACCAAGGCTATAATAGCTACTATGGTCAGAATTATGGAAGCTACGGCAATGGGTACAATCAAGGATACAATGACTACAGCGGCTATGATTATTCTGGGTACGGCTATAATAACTATGGATATGGACAGGGATATGACGACTACAATGGTAAGCTGAACTATTCATTACAAATCACCCGTGTGTTTAAGTTATAAAATTGCTGTGTATTTTTATATCAAAAGCACATAACCGGCCTAGTATGTACAATAATGAAGATCAGTAATGTTGCTTTGGATTTTTATTTGCTTTGTTTACGCAGACAAATTTCTTAGGTCTATATGATAGCAGATGTTCACTATGAAGTTTTCAGTACAGCAAATCGATTTTTTGGGGGGAATTTGAAGTTTAAAATAACTTACTGTTACTTGGGCCCTTGTTGGCAAATTTACCATTTGAATCTTTTTAAAGCATAATCCACATTAATAACTCCCAATAAATTGATTTGCTTCCGGATTTGTAATTTTTACCATTATTTGGTTATGGATTTGGATTGTTTCCTTGTCATTCATGCTTTAATCTTAAAATTAAGCTTATATTGAAAATTGTTGATTTTAATATGGGAATGCATGTTACACAAGTGTTCAAATCATTCTGTGATTATTTTAAAGTATGTATGAAGAAATACTGGTGGAAGCAGTTCACGTAGGTATATTCAGTGTGGAGACTTGTACAAAAAAATACTTTCTATAGACATTTATTCAGAGATCTTTTGTACCTTTTTATATGGTACTTGTCCATGCCACTACTTGAATTCCCCTAGGATAGGGTGCAAAAAGTACAATTTCTGTATGATGCACTAATGTTTATTGAAGTAAATGACAAATTTTATTTTTAATTAGGTCAGCAAAGCAGTTACGGGAAGGCTTCAAGAGGAGGCGGAAATCACCAGAATAACTACCAGCCATACTGAAAAGAAAAACTAAAGGAAAACCTGCTCAAGGAATTTAGGTAAATTGAATCCTAACCCCTTGGCTGACTTCTAATAATTTTAAAGATCAATAGACAACTCAAAAAAAAAAAAACCTCCTTCAAACTTTAAAATGGTAAATATTGCCATGAACATCATCCCGAATGTTTCATTTTTTTCTTTAACAACTGTCTATAGATCTTTAATATGCCATGCTTTCTCTGGCAGTTTTTTTTTAGTTCTCCAGAAAAACGTAAGGGTTTTTCTGTAGGTTTCCTCCCTTTTCTCCTTTGATTTTTGTAACAGGTGATCATGTGGAAGTAACATAAAGAGACTTATTAGCAATATTAACAGGTAAAGTACTGCTAAAGGGTACAAATTAAGGGCCTATCTTTACTTTCCTTCTTCCTAACTCTGATGTTGTACCTTGTTTGTACCTGCCAGCGGGAACTTCATTGCAGGCCGTGTGTCACCCTGACCACGTCATTCTCTGGGCGTCGCACATAGCGGGCAGAGAGCACGGCATGCACAAGAAAACGCTGTCCTGTGGTATGGTCTCTTCCAACTTCCTGTACCAGCGTAAAGATAAAAAAATAAATAAAAAAATGGAAACTTCAGACTTTGCCTTTTTATTTGACAACGGCTTAACTTTTGTGTAAATGGTTTTTTGCAGGATTTGTGTTTAATCTTAAATGACTTAACTGTTTAATTGTATTCTGTTTTTATTTTAGTGTCGTTCTTGTATTTCAGTTCTGGACCTTCAGTGATTTTTGTTTTCTAAAATAAACTTTAAATTGCTTAAACTTTTAATGCTTGCTTTTTCTTTATAGCCAGTAGAGAAACCTTCAAATGATAAAATAACGACTTTTTTTAAAAATGTAGGTGTTCGGGATCATATGTAAAGAAGCTTACTGAAGCCAGCAAAAGCCATTCTGTAGAGGTCAACTGTGTGCACTATTAACCTCAATTTGTAACTGCCTGAAAGAGGGTTCAAAAGTAGTGGGGGGCGGGGGGGGTGGTTATGAATTGCTCTTCAGTGGTAAGTGCATCTGCTTTAGAAATGGAGCTACACCTAAGCTTTTGCTGGCTGTATCACTTCTGCCAAGCTGAGTGTGATACATATGATCCTTAACACGAGAGAACTTCATAGCTTAAAGTTGGCAGCACAAGAGGTTAATCAGTGAAACCTGGCCGTGTTCTAATTTTCGGTTTTAAAGTGCATGGACACATGGAATTAATGTGCGCTGTCTCTTCTCTTTCAGGTGAGGAGCCCAGATGAGTTTTCTGCTTGTTACCCTGGTGGCAACTGAGAGATTCTAGTCCTTTTAAATCAAGAACAACTGTTTTTATTTTAAGATGACCTTGTTTTCTAATTTAGAGGCAAAGTTGGCACCAGCAGGTGTCTGTTTGTAAATAGAAGCTTTCAAGTTTTGTTGCTGGAGTTGGCTCATTCATTCCTTGCCATGTTGGTGTTGTAATGAAATATCTTTTTGTTTGTTTTGTAAAGCGGTCTTTACATTTTTATGCTTTTTTATTTTGTGTTTTTTGCAGCCATGAAGGGAATTAAAGAGTATGGATACAAAAATGATCCTGGTGTGATTATTTTGGGAACTAAATGCACTGTTCAGTAGCCATTCAAATACTTAATCTCAAAACAGTGTTTCACTTAATGTTTTGAGCTTTTATTGATTTTTGTGATAAGTATTCGTTTACACCAAGTTTTTGATTGCGGAATTATTTATAAATGCAATTGATTTTTTAAAACATCTTTGAAATTCCTCTGAATATATTGCCGTCAAGTTGAGACGTTTTCAATTTTTCAGTTGGCTTTTAATGTAATTTACTCAACGTAAATTGTAAACTTTAATTCTCTCTGATGTTTTTAAACTTGATACTTCTCATTTAGAACATTTTAAATAGTAGATGGCTCACCGATGGTTTATATCCGGGGCAAAAGGCCAGTATAGGGACTTACTGTACACTAAATAAAACTTTAAAGTACAGCAATCTGAAACAAACGGTTGCGGGTTTTACGAAGACTGCGGCCTATATAAAGGTAAACATGCTAAGGTCCGGTTTGTTCCCTTGGCTCATAATAACGGCCCGCGGAATCAGGAGGCAGGTTTCATTGAAATTGAATTAGGTCAAATAGCTGTATCCAGGACATACAGCTCTACCTTTTGAGAAGCGGGGCACATTCAATGCTACGCGGTCTAAAAATGGTCGGTTTGTTTCGGCTTCACTCTATTAATCTGGATAATCAAGTACTTTTCCGGAAAAATCTCACTTTAGCTTGAAAAGTCGAGCTTTTCGTTTTAATTTCTCATCATAAGAAGACACATATTCTATTAATCGGGAGCGCTAGTTGAGTGTTATGAGTTTATTTAATGTGACCTGCATTTCAAGCGGTAGAAAAACTTGAGACCCGAGCGACTGTGATGAACGGCGCAGTACAGCGCTTCCCCTGAAGAGGGCTGCCTGCGATTGTGTCATACTTGTCCGATTGGCCCCATGCCGAACGTCGACGAGTGCTTCCTTCCTGCGACCATTTTGTAAGCGGCGCCATTAAGATTCAAAGAGCACTGCGTGTATTGAAATAACTGTTAAAAACAGTAGAAAAACAACTGGCCCTTGTTGCCAGCATAAGACCTCTTTCACTTGATTAGTGCGTCTTCCAAACAGCACGCGTTTGCATTTCATTCTGGAGTAAAAGGCAAACCGGTTGAGAAAATATACCAAGGGTAGTTATTTCTTGTGCAATAAAAAAATGTCGGAGGAGCACCAAGTCGGAGAGGACCCGGTGGTGAAGATGGAGGAAGACGGGGAGGCGGGCGGAGAGGAGCAGCAGATGGCGACCGGAGAGAGCGGGGCTTCAGAGTCCGAGGGATCGAAGATCGACGCCAGCAAAAACGAGGAGGATGAAGGGTGAGAGACGGACGGAGACCCGACACTGACTCTGTCGTCTCCAGGGCGAACAAGGGGCTGCGGGCAGTTCTGTCACTGACGATGCTACCACAGAGACAGGTCATCGACAAATGGGTCCCGTAACGTGTGCTGCATTAATCTGTGTTGTGCAGCGTAATCCGTAATGTACAACAGCAATCTCGAGTGACGCTGAAACCTTTGTTTTTAAATATAAAATGTCTCGCTGTAGCTGGCGATGTCTGGTACTCCAGTTGGAGTAAACTGCGGAAAATTAGTTTTTCTTTTTGCAACAGTACTCCAAAACGTGAAGCTGTACCGCATAATTTATCGCAGTCCATTATAATCACGACATTATAACAGAGTGGGATCAACTGGTGCCATATAGTTTATAGACCATTATTAAATCTAAGGGCGTTTAAACGGTATTAAAACGCACTTGAGAACACTGGCAGTGAAGTGTTATGACTGATACACACTTCTACCTGGTGTGGAAAGTATTTCTGGAAGTTGCTATACAGTTCATGGCTTTTTAAGTATCGTACAGAGTGGGTATAGTAACGTCAGCAACCTGAATAACCGCGCGGTGGTTCAACTGGGTCACACCCAAGTGTCAGCTATCTGAAGCGAAACCGGTTTGTCCTCATGAGACTCAACCGGTTTCGTGAGTGATGCTTGCTGAGGATTTGCACCCTATATAGAGTCACGGTATAGGTATACTTAGAATGTTTTTCTTGTGTTTTTCAGTTGACTAAAACGTTTACGGTGCAGACGCAGTGATTACTTAACTCGGATAAAAGTGTTACTACCTCACCCCAATTTCATTTTCAGTTGTAAATTGTAGATTTACTTTGATTACCTGCTACATTGATACATATCGCACTGTCTAGATAGGTATTTAAGTGCTCAGGAATGCAAATCAGTATTCTAGGTAGTTTCACGGTGTGTAAACTGTTAAGATATCTGGTTTTAAGCACAACATTTAGGAAGTGTTATCAAGGCGAGTGGCATGCTGTGCCATAGGTCCTGGGTTCAGTTCTGGGCAGGGGTGCTATATGGGAGGAGTTTTCACATTATTGCTGTTGCTCAGGTAAATTTTGACATGTGGTCCAGTTTCCTTCCAGTTAAGAAAGACATACTGACTATACGAGTTGTAGTATTTACATTTAGAGTGTCCTTGCGCCCTGCAGTGGTCTGGAATCCCATTCAGAGCGTCGTCACCCTCCATGTTCTAACCCCTCTATCTGACTCGGGGTCGCAGGGGAGCCGGAGTCTATCCTGGCAAGTAGCACGGGTGCAAGGCAGGGTACGCCCTGGATGGGACGCCAGTCTATCACAAGTCTATCACACTGCGCACACTCACACCAGGGCCAATGTTCCAGAAGCCAGTTAACCCACCAGTATGCCTTTGGACTGTGGGAGGAAACCGGAGCAGAACATACAAGCTCCACGCAGATAGTACTCTGGGAATTGAACCCAGGGACCGAGCACTGCAAGGCTGCAATGTTTACTACTGCACCACTTTGCTGTTCGAAGACAAAATTCACTTAGGCAAACAATTGTATTATAATGTGTGTCTGCATCAGCATAAGAGCATGATGTGATGCTTATACCATGTTAACACATTGTCTGGTATGGCACCCAAGACACTGTTAAACAATACATCCATATATGGTATGTGCACAACCACATGTGGTTGCATGTAAACCTGTTCCTATGTTTTTCATCCTTAAAAAGATTGTTTTTAATGTACTTTTAATTCTTTAACAGAAAAATGTTTGTTGGAGGGTTGAGCTGGGATACAACGAAGAAGGACCTGAAAGATTATTTTTCCAAGTTTGGAGAAGTAGTAGACTGCACACTAAAACTGGATCCCATGACTGGACGGTCCAGAGGATTCGGCTTTGTATTATTTAAAGATGCTGACAGCGTTGATAAGGTATTTCTGTTTCTGAGGTTAGCATGCTGCCAATTTGCTAGAATTGCCTTCATAGTAAATGCACAGGCTCTCTCAAACATTTCTGCATTGTGAAGGTACTAGCTTATAGTGGTTACAGCTACTACTTACTTACAATTTTACTACCAGTTACTCACAAAGAACTGCTGTTCTAAAAGCACTTTCCATTTCGAAGATGTGTAGAGATTTTCCAACACGGTTATATAAAAGTACAGATTATTTTTTAATGGGCATATAATGCTGATTTCAGTCCTGTGCAAATGTTTTTTTTTTCTTGAGGATATCTTTCTTTAAGCATATTATACTGTGTATAATTTACCGATACGCTAAATGAAAGAAATGTCTTTTTGGTCCATGATCCTACATTTTACATTCCTGATTTGATCAGCAAATAATTTGTATGCCTAGGAAAACCATAGCTATTTTTATGGTTTGAAAAAAAAATAGAACTAATCAAGAAATGTTTTTTTCTAATATTTGCTTTTAATGGGTGCTTATTTCAAAAGAACAAATGGAATAACTGGACAGATGTATTTAGAAAAATTCACAGTGGGGTATTTAATCTTTGTAGTTAAAGGTTTGGCTCAGTTTGCAGTGTAGCTCATTTAGGTGACATTGCATTAAATTTATCACATGATTGAATCTAAACCACTATTTAAATATATTTAATTATTCATGTTGATTAGAATTGTTGTTTGCAAGTGTGAATTAAAAAGGAACATCTGCTCGTTTGGCCAATTGTGTGTCTAGAATACACAGGTTTTGTTGAGTGAATGGAATTGTAATAGAAACAAATATATAGAAGAACATGAGTTATCTATCAGTAATCGTTTTCACTCAAGATGTGTTTGTGACAAAACTGCCAAGCTTCTGACTAAAGACAAAATTAAACAAAACCTGTTTAATTCATATTGTTAGGGTAAATACATATGAGTGAAAGATATAGGGATATTTTTCAGAACATTGCTTATATTTAAGATTGTTAATTTGATTGACATCATTTGAAAATAATACCTGTCTTTCTTTGCAATATTAATGCAGAATTACTACCCCAGTAATGTGCTTTGTAGTATTTAGAAGGGGAAATTTTAACATTTTCTACTCCGATAAACCATAGTTGGCTAATGGAAACAGTACTGGGACTATAGTATTGTGCCATCTTCTTGTCATTTTTGCTACACAAGTGCGTTTAGAAAACCCCAATTACTAATCCTCTGAGGCATTTCACTTGCGAGAAAGCTTTTAGTTTGGCTTTTTTGCAGTGAGTTTTGACTTGATCAAATTCCTTGCCACAGCAGTGGTTTGGGAATGAAGTGGAAAAACACAGCCAGCCTGGTTGATGATTTCACAAGACTAAGCTTTGTGTCCTCTGGTGTGCCTATCTTCCAGGTTATAGTGCAGAAGGAGCACAAACTGAATGGAAAAGTGATTGACCCTAAGAAAGCCAAGGCTATGAAGACCAAGGAACCAGTGAAAAAAATCTTTGTAGGAGGACTTTCGCCGGACACCCCTGAGGAGAAAATCCGGGAATACTTTGGTGGTTTTGGGGAGGTATGCATCGTACTCATTTATTTTAGGATCACAGATTTTTAAAACTAATTTAAAAAGAAGATCCAAAGAACAAGAAAAACGTGTATGGGACCTTCAGGATTGAGATTGCAGAAAAGGGTGCAGTTGACCGTGAACTAAAGTGTTTTTTTTCCTAGGATTGAAGTTCGGTGTTTGAAAATGACAGCACCTATTCCCTAAACAAAAGGAAACACAAGCATTTAAGTACATTGGATCACATTTACAGATTGTGCAGCTCCAGAAATATAAACAACACTCCAGCTAAGAATAATTTGCTTTCAGGTCACTGAAAAGTATCATTGTACCACTTAAAGAAAGGGACGTCTAAAAAATGAGAGCAGTTAGAGTTAAGGCAGGCTATTGCAGTAGCTGGATCTGCTTTATGAAAGATTCAGCTGAAAATATAGTGAATATTCTATAGGTAGAAAATGCCTTTCTTGCATAAAATATCTGTGATTTTCCAGCCCAGATCTTGCATAGTCAATAATCCAGTTAGTTATATTATTCACTTGTTAGTAAAGCTTGGGAACATCTGCTTATTATAAGATTTCTGTGGTGGGAATTTGGTCCTGGAGGATCTCTGAATGACTTAATTGAACAAATGGCATGTAGAACTGCATCACAGATACTAACAAATCTTGAGAATTTGTAGGCCTGTTGTATTAGGGCTCTCCTGCACCCCATTTCCAGTGAACGCACAACAGGAACTGAAATCCGATTTGGAAGGAAGAGTGAGGTTGCCCATAAGTGCCATTTCTCAGTGGTTGGAATCATAAAAGTTAGCAAATCAAAATATGTTCTAAACCTTGCTTGGAACATCTCTCAGAGCGTCACATGCCCTTCTTGAATGGTGTACTGCGTGGTGTTGGTTTTCAGTCTCCCCTGAGCACTGAGTCGCTTGTGCTCTTCTTGGGCGCTGTCCTCGTGTCTGTCCCCAGGGCCCACACGTGTTTCTGAAGCCGGGGGGGGGAGCTGATCGGATGTGCTCTATCCCCAGGTGGAGTCCATAGAGCTTCCCATGGAGAACAAGACCAACAAAAGACGGGGCTTCTGCTTTATCACCTTCAAGGAAGAGGAGCCCGTGAAGAAGATCATGGAGAAGAAGTACCACAATGTTGGGCTCAGTAAAGTACGCCGCTCTTTCAGTAGCTCCGCCCCTTCAGCCTTTGAAACCTCTATTTTCCTACAGGCAGCGGCAAATTATAACAGAGCTAGATTGTTAGCTGCATTTGAGTACATCTAATTGCATGATTCTTAGGTGTTTTGGTTAGAAATTGTGTCATGAAGTCTGGAATTAAGGAGTGATTTTGCTGGAATTGAGGAGTGATTGTGCTGTGTGTGTGATAATTTGGTATTTTTGGAAGTAGGGACTCAATAGTGAAATTACAAGGTCTGAGCCATAAAGTCCATGCACCCTGCCATATCCAGATGTGTTTTAACTCGGGGGTTTTCCAATTCTGCTGTTGATCATTTTGTCCTGTATTGACTCAGTTACTAGCAGTCCGCTCCCGAGCTTACGGTAGTCTAGGGGCAGAGGTGTTTAGAGTAGCCGCAGTCTGAGAAACTAGTGTTTGCTGCGGGAAGCTGGGCTCTCACAAGGCATTCCCTGTTTCTGTTCCTGCGCAGTGTGAAATCAAGGTCGCCATGTCCAAAGAACAGTACCAGCAGCAGCAGTGGGGAGGCAGGGGGAACTTTGTGTCCAGAGCCCGTGGAAGAGGTGGTGAGTCTCAGCTGCGCTCTTGCTTGGCTGTGCCTGACACCGTCGGCCTTCTGCAATTAACTCAGTCGCACTGTGGCTGGTGTCACCCGTGACTTCTAAGATAGGTGCAAGTCGGAGATCAAAGACAAGGACTTCGTACAAGTTAGTAATTGAGTCACGTGGGCAACTCACAACTGGCAGCCCACTGAAGCTCAGCAGGTTTGAGCCTGGTCAGTACCTGTATGGGAGACATCATGGGAAAAACTAAGGTTGCTACTGGAAGAGGTGTTAGTGGAACCAGCAGGGGGCGCTCATCCTGCGATCTGTGTGGGTCCTAATGCCCCAGTATAGTGACGGAGACCCTATAATGTGAACAGGTGCCGTCCCTCCGATGAGACGTTAAACTGAGGTCCTGACTCTCTGTGGTCATTAAAAATCCCAGGGCGTTTCTCAAAAAGAGTAGAGGTGTAACCACAGCGTCCAGGCCAAATTTCCCATTGGCCCTTTCCAGTCATTACCAATCATAGTTCAGGTGGGTAGCTGCGTCAGCATGCATAGGCTGCAAAGGAACAAGTAATAGGTTTATTCCAATCATGGAATTAACCATTACCAATCATGGCCTCCTAATAATCCCCATCTATGAATTGGCTTCATTACTCTGTTCTCCTCCCCACTGATAGCTGGTGTGTGGTGAGTGTACTGGTGCACTATGGCTGCCGTCGCATCATCCAGGTGGATGCTGCCTGTTGGTGGTGGTGGAGGGGAGTCCCCATTACCTGTAAAGCGCTTTGAGTGGAGTGTCCAGAAAAGTGCTATACAAATGTAAGAAATTATTAATTATAATTATTATTTGTAGGTCTTATTCAGTTGCTAACTGAAAAATGCCTTTAAAACCTCCAACTTCTGTTGATCTGCAAAGGGCAAGCCTAAAACAGTTGGGGATTGTTAAAAAAAAAGAAGCAGCTGAAAAACAGGATGCTGTTGTGCAGTTCACCAACACTGTAAGAAAGGTGACAGACAAGAAGCAGTCACTGGGCACAGCTAGGCTCTCGCTGTGTCTTTGCAAGTGAGTTCACGGTGTCCTTGTGGCAAATTGGGTGATGCTACTGTGCTTTGCAGGCCCAAGTCAAAACTGGAACCAGGGATACAGCAGCTACTGGAATCCGGGATACAGCAACTACAACTACGGCTACAACAGCCAAGGCTACGGAGGATACGGGGGCTATGATTATTCCGGTTATAACAACTACTACGGATATGGTGACTACAGCAGTATGTAACCTTGTCTGTCAAAGCACAATTAATAAAAAAAAGAAAATGATTTGGTATCACATCATCTTGTTTTTTTTTCTTTAAGTTTTGCAGCTTCCTGTCACTAAATTATTTAAAAAGCATGCACCATCTTAGTGTTGTGCTGGCATGTACGTTACAGTTTTCTTTTCAGTGAGGGAGTTTCTAACGCGTTATTAAAAGGCTGGTTTAAGTGAAATACGCAGACTATATCCAGACTGAAAAGTGATCTTTTTTTTTTTTTTCGCTTCACATACAAGTGTTTTAAATTGTTGGGACAGTACAAGATAATCTCCTACTATAAGCTATTTGAAATTTAAAAATTTCCGTTTTTAAAGAAAATAAAACCAATCTTTTATTTAAAAATCTTTCCACATGTTTTCTTTGCTCATCATTTTAATTGCGTGTATAATTCTTTTCAGGGCAATGAAAAATTGATATGTTTGAGTATACAGTTAAGTCTTCGGACTGTGTTGGATGATGGCCGTCAGAGCCATTGAAATTTATCCTGACCAGTTTGGATCTGAAAACAAAGGTCCTCTCCTCCCCTTGTGTACTGCCTAATAAGCAACCGTGTGACCCACTGTCCTGGAATTGCAAAGATTTCATATATTTATAAGGTTTTTGTTTGTAGTCACTATTTGAATTGCCTTTCCCAAGTTGTAGATTTACAGCTTTCAGTAAACCATCTGTATGGGTTCAGTCAGGATTTCAGTAAATCTTCAGTTTTAAACAGCATTCTGTAAACTGAGGTTTAACGCCAGACTGTTTTTTGCTTAATCTCTAGATCAGCAGAGTGGTTATGGCAAAACTCCAAGGCGTGGTGGTCACCAAAACAGTTACAAGCCTTACTAAAATATTATCCCTACTTAATACAAGCAGGTATGTTGACAAATTGCTCACAGCACAACTGTTACTATAAATATACTCTTAATAATTATATTTACCTTTCTTTAATGCATATGTTTAATTTTTTTCTTTAAAGTTTTCACAGCACCCAGAAGTGCTTACAGTAATGGTAACATAGAGACTTCAGTCTTTTGGAGATATGTAACACTGGCAAGGGCTTTTGCCCTTTTGTAACTGTAAGATTAACAGGTAAAGTACTGCTAATGGGTCCAAGTTAAGGAATTGCAACGAAAGAAAAGAAGAATGTTGTCTCCTAACTCTGACATATACCTTGTTTGTACCCGCCAGCGGGAACTTCATTGCAGGCCATGAGTCGCGCTGACTTCACGATTCTCTCAGGCCCGCTCAATGCGGACAGGGTACGAGAGGCGCACGCTCTCAAATGCTGCCGTTTGGTATGGTCTTCCAACATCCTGTATCAGCATTAGAAAATAAAACGGATACTCCGAGCTTTTGCCTTCACTTTTTTTTTTCCTTTTGCTTTTGTTTTTGGGATTGTTTTATAGAAGGAATATCTTTTAATGTAATTTTAATGCTATTTTTTACAGGCCCCCAAGTAAAGGTTAATTACGACATCATACTGAAAAAAATAACTACTTATTCTTCTACGGACACAGCTTTCTCTGGACTTTCCAGTGTCTTACTATATATTGCGTTCCTGGTCTATTTGTGATTGCTTGCTTTTCCCCATTTATAGCCCTTGTAGCAGTAAACCCCAGTAGTCCATGAGCTAAAACCTGGTTTGTACTTGGATGTAACTGCGTGGAAGAAATCCTTTTAATTCCGTTGTATCAGAATATCTGTACGGTGTTTTGTGGTACTGCCAGCGGTGGGAAAACGCTTTTTTTTGTAAACATGGTTAATTTCTCCTAACAAGTGTTTTTTTTTTTGTTTTCTTTTTGAAAAATGACGAGTGTTTAATAAAATTTGCATGTAATGCTCAGATTAACATGTATTTTAGGATCAAACAATGGATTTATTCTTTAATTTTGTACTTTTTTTGGCGTCATTTTCCCTCTTCCAATTGTTGCACTTCAGGATTTCTAGCTTATGGACTAACTTTGTTTTTAAGTGTTAATTGTAGAATTTTGAATATATATATATCATTTTGTCTCCTTAATGGAATTTGTAAAGGGTTGGGGTTCCTTTTATATATACGTATACCTTATGTAGCGTTTCACACCTTGGTTTGTGTACAGAGGATTAACAACTTCGTGTCATTTTGTTTTTTCCAGGTGATGGAGCAGTATTGTTCGTCAGAGAGAAGGTCCCCACGAGAGGGTTTTAGCCTAAACACAGACAGCAGCTTTCAATCACGGGTTTCGTGCCAACACGAATAAAGCAGTTGGTTGTTTTTTTTTGTGCAGATGAGATCCTAATTCTAATTAAAATATTGCTTTTATTTCTATATTTTATGGCGATAATTAAAAATAACTTTGTTTCTTGTCAGTTTTGTTTCCTTTCGGTTTACTGTGAGAAGTCTTGTGTGAAGCTATATTGTGAGGAGCTGGTGTCCTGAATTTTTCTTTTTTTCTAAATAAACTTTTTTTGTAAAAGTATTGTGTGTTTCATTGTGAATTATTCACAGATGAGCCTAGACAATTCACATTGCCCTTTGTAGCCGGCGTCTCTGTCTATGAACAGTTGAGGTTAACAAATATCCGATGAAGACAGTAAGTAAGACCATATATGAATTTATGTTAACACTTGCAACCTTTTCATCTTATATATACTGGCTGGGAAATACATATTTCTAATAATTGAAGAAGAATGTAAGGGTTTAAGTTCTGATTTCTCAGTTAACGTGAGATCATATATGCTTCTCTGTAGTTAATCCTGTTAGTGCAACAATGATGTATGACGCACAACTGGTACTAAATGTCTATATATTTAACAGATAAAAATAAATTGCAACTTTTAAGCTGTAATTCAATTTTGTCCACAGGGTTACTTGTTAAAAATTCACCGAGGATACCAACATCCAAGAATTGAATACTTTAAGAATGGTTTTATTTGGCGAGATAGGTTTGTCTTAACCCACTTGGTAAATGGGTAGCCCCTTGGCCACAGGATGAGGAGGTTTGAACCCCAATCAGACTGAGTGAACCAGGGGCAGCTGCAAGGTGAAGTTGGGGTGTATGACTTGTTTTTATCCCTCCTGAATTTGACAGCTTCCACATAATGTACGTTGAGAACACAGGAAAGATGGACACACGAAAGACCAATCAAAAAAGTGTGAAGCTTTATTGCGTGTTCATGTAAAAATGCAGCCAAAACAGGCTAGTATACTCGCATTAAGTCTTACAGCAATGCAGTGAACATTTTATGTGAGCTTTCAGTTTGCTCTAATTGTAACTACTTCAGACTGTTGAGATTGCACAAGGATTGTGTTCTTAACACATTAAATAATTTACCTAAGAATATATCTGAATACAACCACATAAGTGAAACATTGTTTTATGTAAAAACTGAAGCAAAACACAGATTTACAATAGGAATACTCAGCTTTTGGTTAGATTTTGGCACTTTCAAACAGGGATCAAAACTTTTGACTAATTTGAATAGTTTGATAACAAAAACGAATACAACTATGTCAATTTAATATTTTGTTGCATTTACATGTTAATTGTGCAAAAACAAAGGAAATGGTATAAAAAGGAAATGGAAAATAATGCTACATATGACAATAGTTTTATTAGTCAGATGAAGAATATAGTAAGACCTAAAAGCAAGACAAAATCTCACTCTCAAGAGGAACAGAAAGGAGGAAAGAGCTTCTGTGTTTCATAAAGTTGAGTAGAATGTTCTCACAAACAGCTCTGAAACTTAAAAGTTCCCCATTTCAAGAGCAGAAACCAAAAGTAAAACCCTCTGTTCTCAAAAATAATTTTCAGGTAATCGTTTTTAAATATGTTGCATAGAAATGTAAAACCTATTTTGCATTTTAATGTGAACTTGAATTAATTTTCATTCATGAATTCATGAATCTACAAAAATTATTTTTCTTTCTCAAAAGACAAATACTAAGACATACCAGCATGACTAGTTAGTCGAGTAAGGTGACCGGCAGGATTGAATTATGTGGGAATAACATTTGTGGCCAATAGGATTATAAGGATGATAATGACTATCACAACCACAGCTATAATGATCATCATCTTTGTGTTCTTCCACCACATCTTCCGAGCAACCCGCGTGGAGGTTTTTTGGAAAGAGTCGGCCTAGGAAGAGAAAGCATCACGTTAGGGTTTCTCGCTGCAGAGAAAACCAGTTCTCTAAGACAGTACTTCAGACATGTGACTCTCCATACAGGATGTTAGTGCTTGCAGCCATGTGGCACTTTCACACAGCACGGTACTGATAGATTACATCACAGACTAATAAAACCATGGGTTGTTCTATTTCCTTTGAAGTCTGGTTAACCTTTGCATGGGCAGCTGAAACTGAAAAAAAACGTCAACCCCATTTTTCTTGGTCAGAAACTAACACTGCACATATTAAAATATATAAAATATATTGCCAACTCCTGTACTTGTAGACACACGCTAAAAAAACACGTTAAAAAAAAAATTTTTTTAACACATGACGTTCCGACGACTTACTGTTGCCTGCAGATCATCTGTTTTCACTATTAGGTCATCCAGCCGCTCTCCTCTCTCCAAGACTTTGTTTATGTTATCTTTCAAAACTCCTTTGACGTCATTGACTTGAACCTGAACCTCCTCCAGCTTGGACATGCCTGGCTGTGTGCCGTAGTCAGCCTGAGCCCAAGACACAGAAGCTACAGTGAGGCGACATTTTGAAAAGTCACAGCATGGCTGTGAAAATGAACCAGCTATGTAGTAAAAGCAGGAGTGGACACAGACTACAGGAGGCAAAAGCATGGAAGAGGGAAAGTCTGGAGCACAAAAAATGGTAAATGGATGTCCAGCTGAACTCATAGCTCAATTTATAGTTTTTTGCTGCTATGGAACTTAAAGGGCTACCACATCATCACTTGCATCATCAACAAAATGCTGTAATGCAATGACATCCACATATATTAGGTCCTTCAAAGACATGATCTGCAAGTATTGGTGTCACCTGTAATGGGATGTGGCTCGGATGGATAATGTGAACTACAGCAATGTTTTAGCACTACTCTCAGCTCTAACATGCCCATCTTTTCGGTTATGTGCTAAGAATTTAGAGATATGTTTCTGTTTCTATAGTAACACTAATAGTAAAACAATGACGTGAAAATGATTGAAACTACAGAATGATTAGTGTGTTCAAAACCATTATGTCCCCTAAACAAAATAGAAAGCTATTCACATTATGTGTTCCTAATTTTCAGTTAGTAAATCTTTAGTAATATGACCAATTTATGGTCACAAAGGAAGGTCTGCCCTAGATGGCAAAATATTGCAAACCCAAGGATGAAAAGGCTCTTTTTTGTTTTGCATTGCTGAATTACTTCTGGGTGATAAGGAAGCTTCTGGGCATATTAAAGTTACAAGTTACAGTTTTTCTTACATTTGTTGTAACATAGTGACAAGTTTACTTTAAAAACAACCTCTACTGCAGTTAGCAACTAAACCGCTGATCAACCCTTTCCACTAATTCTCCAGAAATTATGGAACTGCTTTCATTGTGTTTTTTTAAATTTAATTGAAATTCCTAATTTTATGTTAGGTTTATTTACAATACACATTTAAAAAATGTAACAAAATGAGGAGAGATTAACAGAACAAAATCTCCCCAAACTGTTAATGCACTGTTAATGTGTGTGGTAAAAAGCTTTGAGAGAAAAAAGAGGAAATCTCTGAGTTCAAGAGAACCAAGCATTTCACCCCAGCCTTTCTAAATCCTCCTCATTCCCAACACCATTTCCCAAAGCTATCCAGTATATATTGGAAATTAAACGTTGTTTAACATCTCAAAAGATTTTTTGCTTCTCTACACCAGCACTTTTTCACTGGAACAAACTCATCTCGTTTCCAGGTTAGTCAGAGGCATGATCCTAATAGGACACGAACAGGCCAAATGATACTATTACATGTTTTACGTCACTTGAAACAGGCAAATTGCTTGAAAGTAAAAATAAACATTTTTGTGTTGGTAAAACCATGATGGTCAATGATGGTCAATGCGTGCAATCCTGCACAATCAGGATAGATTTGTAAACCAAGCAACATAGAAACAAGACAAATACACATGACCATAAATCTTTGCATCAGATAATATGCATAACATGATACCAGGATATTCTGAAGAAAACTGGGAATTTATTAATGAAGACCAGTAATTCCCTGTAGCCCATTTTAAACTGATGCTTGCCAATATCAAATGAAACGTTTTATATGACTGATTAAATGCATTGCTCTATTACACATTAATAAAACAAGGTAGAGCCAAAAATGAAAATAATGTAATAATTGCACAAATGGACAGGGTAACAATTAGAAATATGTCTAGTTATCCAAAATAAACCATACAAAACATATAAAAGTACAAGATGGGCATTCATGGTAATGCTTGTGGCAGTAACTTATATTTTGTCTCATAACTTTAATCATAGTTCACTTCCTTCAGGAACAGCGCCATGAATCCCTTCCAAGTTGTTAGAAATCTTACCATATTACACTTCTGCCTAGTCTAAAGAAAATGCTCTCTATTAACTAACACTTGATACTTTTAAATGCGAGTGTTTCAAAAGAGTATGCTGTTGCTAAAATATTTAGCAAATCGAAACCTTCACTGTTTTAAATTGCAAAGCTTACAGAGCTCTCAATGTTTAGCACTTTCTGACTTGTCAATTACTTCCTCATTGCTGGGTCCATATTACTGGTGGAGTAGACATATTATTGTCATGATACCTGTACACACCATAATAATGTTCAGGTCTTACCTATTAGTTTTAAAATAGCTGTAGCAAATGGAAACCAAATACTCACCATGACTATACTGTAAGACAACCAGAGGACAAATGACCAAACCACCTTTTAACGCTTCTCAGGAGAACACCTCAGCAAAATTCACATATTCACAAGAAATGCAAATCTCCTTTTCTGAACTGCTGGCCCAGCAGTTCAAATGTGAACCGTAGCACTGGAGCCAGTAAACACCATTTCCTATAGCTCCAATATGTCAGGACAGCACCCTGTTCCAGCAGCTTACACATTAACCATTGTCAGCTCCACCTGCTGACAACGATTGGCTGCTTTTCTTTTTGACATCTGACGTCCACCTACCATATACTGGCCTAGCACCTGATGGAGGTCTGTGCTGAACTCAAAGGGCTGGGCAAAGGCCACTTTCTTTATCAGAGGGCTGTTGACAAAGGCTGTACAGATCTGAAGAAAATAAAAAAGAAGTTTGGCTTTGAATAAAGTCAGCTGTTTCTGTAGGTCACTCTCAACTTGAAACTACAGAGATCTAATCCTTGTCATCGGAGTACTGATTGCATGCTTAAGAGCATACACGCAGTACATAAGGAGCTACAACACAACCTATTGAAGGCTTGGGTTAAGGAAAAGGTCTGTTTTTGAGGAGAAGAGATAATCAGGCCCCCTGTTCAAGGTGAAAAGGCAGTCAAAAGAAACGTTTATCACAGTGCTGAAAGAAACCTCTTTCTCTGTCAGAGCACAGTGGAAAAAAGGCTTCTTGAAAAGTAGGCAGTTTTCAGTGTACAAATCCATTGTGCGATCTTACATAGAGAAGAAAATGACTTGTATGGCGTAAAACATATTCTTGACCTTATATTTTTTACCTGTTGTTAAGCTAAAACCCCGAGCGGACCCTGAAATTGCACCGTGACTTTACGTTACTTCCTTTGTGATGGACTTTCCTTGGCTATGTACTCTTGAAAGCATTTACACAAGCAACTCAAAAGTAGGCCCTATCCAGCACAAAAGCCCAATTTAGATTGTTGAAAAAACAAAGCCAAATTGCCTATATAATTTTTTGTTCTTTCAATATGCAATGTGAAAATAGCATACTGTATCTCTGAGATTAGCAAACTGGTGAATATGAAGAGGGTGGCGCAGTGGTTAGCATTGCCGTCTTGCAATACTCGGGCCCTGGTACAATTCTGGACCTGGAGTGCTATCTGTGTGGAGTTTGTATGTTTTCTGTGGTTTTGTGTGGGTTTCCTCTGAGTGCTCCAGTGTCCATTTCTGGCAACAGCAATGATTGAAAGCTTTTAAGACAGTGTTTATGCACTGACAAGATTCTCTACTTTAAAACTGTCGACTGATATAAAACCACATATTAAGAACGGCTCTTTATCTGGCTCTAAGCACCAAATGGAAAAAAAAAACAACAGAATATGTTGTTGACCAAGTAAAGAATCTCCAATGCAAAGTGTTATTAATTTAAGATGTGAATGCGCAAGAAAAACATCTGTGAAAAAAGAAAAGACAGGGTGAAATAATATTTTTACCTCATCAAGAAACCTGAAGGCTTTTAAGGCATCAAAACGTAGCTCTGTGACACAAATGTAGGTGATTCCGTTATGGAAAAGAACATGGTAGTTGAAGCTGTGAAACAGAAAAAAAAATGTTTTTGTTCAAAAACATGGGTCAGCTATGTTTTTTGTTTTCAGATCAGAAACTGCTCCTTCAGAGTCTCCATATGCATATTGAAAAATACCATTGGACAGACTGATCAAACCTGTAATGGCCTGATGAGCTCCAGTGCTCCTACATCAACACCACCAATTTCCACAGCGCATTCCACACATGGAAGGAGCTCATCAGGGCCATCTCTAACGAGAGCAGGCCGAGCTTATCAGCCTCGCTATTTAAGCACTGAGCAACCATTCCTTAGGCTTTGGCACTGAGTGGCTAACGAGTGCGAGTGCGAGGTTTCCCCAGGATATTTCTAACATTCCCCTCCAGGTTCAACTCCCTGCAACTGCGAATTACTTATCATCCCCTCCTGTCTCCATCCCAGGACGACTGTTTCCCCTGCATCTCAGCTGTCTGCTGTTCCTCTTTCTGCTTTCCATTATTTCATTAATTATCATCCACTCACCTAATGAACTCTGCAATTTTCACTGCTAACCAGACTCTGAGAGCAATTAATTTGCCATGCCCTTTTTTCCACCTATGGGCCTGGCGTAATACAGATTTGAATTCGCAAACAATTAAGACTTGGGGAAACATGCTGACAGTCCAAGGAAGCAAGTGGTATCTGCAGACACAGGCTTTTCTGCATTGTGTGATGCACTGCCAAAAATCCAGCCTATTTCTCTGGTCTGCCGCGTCTGTGTGGTTAAGAATGAGTGTTTTTTTATTATTGTAAAACATCTGTGGTGCAGTTCATATCTTTTGAGACTTTTCACTGATTTTTTTTTAATTGAGAGGACTCTAGGATTAATAAACTCTTCTCCCCTAGACTGATTAATCTTCATGTGTTTTTTTTTTCTCATTACCAAATACAAAAATGGAGTCTGCTGAAGGAGTGGAAATTCAATCTGCTGTAATATGCAGTTGTCATATATTCTCTCAGGAGGTATGATGTTTATTGTTCAATTTGTGATACTGAATTGTGACTTTCTTGGGTAAAAGCCTTTCTGGTATATAGTACTATAACTGTGCTCTTTCTTGGGAATCAGAAATGAGAACCTATAATCAAGAGGAGCCCTGCAACATGTTGATACTAGTCTTCTGCATTCTGTGAATGGGTTATTCTTGGGTTATTCTGATAACATTAAGTGTAAAATAAAGACATGCTTTCACAGTTCTTGGTACGGAGGTGCTGACTATTTTCTTCCAGGCCAAATAAGAGTTGTATCTCTCCAGGCTGATTAAGAACAGTTGTTCTTTAACTATAAAGAGAGACCGTTTCTTTACATTGGGCTGCAGAGGCTTAGAAAATAGATTACATTATTATTCATGTGCCTAATGTTTCTAATTTGAATATGTTGTCAAAGCCATTCATTTTAATAGTTAACATTCAAGATTAGTTCCAACTTCTGTGGCCTGTGGGTTCTTTACAGTGTTTCTACAATATTTTGTTATTCCCATTTAACTGGACATAGAGTATATAAGCATGTTCAAGAAGGGACTGTTCGAGTAGGGAATTTGTTTATCATCATCATAAAGCACTTCACTGATCCAAAATAGACCCTGAGGTACAGGACATTTCTGAGGCTATTTTTCCTGGTGCATTTAAGAAGCATTAACCCTGCACCCTGTAGAGGCATTCAGGGCTGGGATCAATATTCCAGTTCATCTGGATATCAATTCTCAAATCCACCTCTGTGTGAGTTTAGAAGAAGAACTGGAATTACACATTGGTTGGAAAGAGTTATCCTGGAGCTGAAGACCTGAATTTGCCCCCAACTTTGAAGCCCTCAATGGCCAAAAGACACATCAGACATGAGCAGACCCTGCCCTGTGCCTAAACTTGCTTGTTTTCTGTAGGAGTCTAGCCCTTGTAACAAAGCAACTGAATGGTGTGACTGAATTTACACACCTCTCAGGCTGCCAGAACCTCTTACATTAGAAAATATGTGTCAATTTTTTTATTAGCAGTCACTGTGAGCCTGAGCGAGAGCTTTCTTTTTTAAAAAGAGTCTCATGTGTTCAGAGATCAATGAACACGTAAGAGGTCTGTTGTGATATGTGCTGGATTTAGAGGGACAAGACGGCTTAATACTTTTCCAAATTTGAAAGCTTATCCCTGCTTCACCCAGTAACCAGAGGACTAGTTCGAAAATAAGGCCTGTGGAGAGGCTTGTGTTTTTGTTGTTGGGAGACATGTATTGTGGGGCTACTAAGGAGCAACACCAAAAAAAAAATTATCTCAAGTCCTCACCAGGAGGACGCTGGTAACACTAACCATCATTGATATACCGACCCTGATAATGATGGGTCATCAGTATATATTTTCTTGTCTTTAAAAAAGACTTGTGTACTGTTACATTGGAAATACTAAATTTACCCCTGTATTTCTGCAGGGAGGGTGACACTGTATTGCAGTGGCTAACATTGCTTGTAGCACTAGGGCCCTGGATTCAATTTAGGTGAGGTGCTATTTGCATGGAGTTTGTATGTGCTCCCTGTGTCCTTGTGGGTTTCCTTCAACTGTCCAAAGACATACTGGTAGGTAAAACGACTTCTGGGAAAACTAGCTTTGGTGTGAGTGTGTGCGTATTTATGTCTGTACAGGTATGTGCCCTGTGATGAAATGGCCTCTACAGGGTACTGTACATCCTGCCCTAATACAGTTAGAAAATAAAAAGAAATATTTCCACGGGGGGCTCATCCATCAAATATTGAATAGGTCTAGATATGCCTACTTTCTGTAATCAATCATTTCTGATATCGTTTATAGAGCCCAGATGCTATTTCTGTAGGAAAAGTGCAAAAAGCAAACTGCTCATTTTTTAATAGATACAGAACTGACCGTTAATGTTGTCATTTGATTATTCGTTTAGAATCTAGATTCTTTTTTTTATTCCTTCGCTGCCTGCCCTCAATCCCAATTCATTGATCCGCGCTTCTCAGGGAAAACAGTACGTGCTCTCCAAATAAACGTGGACTGCCAAACCGTCTGCCATTTCTCACACTGTGAGTCTAACAGGGCTCATAGATGAGTGAGCAGTGACTGGAGGAGTGGTGCAGCTCTCACAGACACTCACACTACATCAAGCTCACACACACCTGGAAAACTATCAGGGTGGTTGCGAAGTGGCAAGCCTGGACTAGACGACTCTGAATCAGTGCTTATAATGGCTGAGCTACCAATTTGCTTCATTATTATTTGGGCTATTAACTTAGCTGACCTCTTTTTCAAAGGACCCTTACAACTGCCGAAATGTAAAGCAACACATGGCTAAAGTGGCAACATGTAAAGTGCTGTAAGAGTTCTTTTCAAACCTCATTCTTTTGTTTTTGTATTAATAATTCAAAATGTAGAATTGCTATTTTAAAGACCCTTACTTTTGAATTACCAACTAGAACGCTAGAGCACTGGAGAAAAACTGACATTGGTAACTCTTGCACTGCTTCCTATAGGGACCTGGCTATAATAATAATTTATAATAACAATTGCTTACACTTATATAGCGCTTTTCTGGACACTCCACTCAAAGGGCTTTACAGATAATGGGGACTCACCTCCATCACCACCAATGTGCAGCATCCACCTGGATAGAGCAAGGCAATGATACCCAGGCTGACTGAAGCATTGAGTATTACCTCTTCTATTGCACTGGGCCAGTTGGGGAATCCTTACTACTGCTATTCAATGACATGGTATAGATTTGAACCACAACATTTTGGACTATAGAGCTTAGTCTGTCCTTTGTAGTGGCATGTTTATTGGATGAGCCCACAAATTTTTTGTTGGAACCAGAAAGAGACAAACAAAAGATGATCACGTGATCTGAACCTTTTTAATAATAAACAAAGCCTCAGGATAAATTTATCTCACCTCTCTCTTTCAAAGGTGTGTCTGGATAAAGATGTCCACGGAACTTTCCTGATCAAACTTAAAGCTGTCCCCTAAAAACATAACAAATTTTGTATTATATTTAAGTAGTTTCAGACATAGATAGATCACTCACAATTCAACATCAACATTCTTTTTTTTCTTCCCATGTGTGCCATTATCCTTTGCACACTGCCCTCTACCTCATCTTCACTTCTACTGCAGCTCCCTGGCTCATTCCCCTTGTCCTATCAGCCAGGTTGCCATTCTGTTAGCAATGCCAGTGAAGCCAATAAAGTAACTAATCTCAAGTACATCTCTGCTCAGTCTTAAATTGAGTTTAGGAATACTGAAGTACCCTGAAAGTAAAAATCTTCACATAATATTTGGTCCCATCGTTCACACTTTCCACATCACCCGGTCAATACTATAAATAATATAATATAAATAATATGCCAGCAGCCATATCACCCTGCAACTCACAACTGGCAGCCCACTAAAGCTAAGCAGGTGTGAGCCTCGTCAGTACCTGGATGGGAGACCTCCTGGAAAAAACTAAGGTTGCTGCTGGAAGAGGTGTTAGTGGGGCCAGCAGGGGGCACTCACCCTGCGGCTCATGTGGGTCCTAATGCCCCAGTGTAGTGACGGGGACACTATACTGTAAACAGGTGCTGTCCTTTGGATGAGACGTAAAACCGAGGTCCTGACTCTCTGTGGTCATTAAAAATCCCAGGGTGTTTCTGGAAAAGAGTAGGGGTGTACCCCAGCGTCCTGGCCAAATTTCCTTTCGGCCTTTATCAATCATGGCCTCCTAATAATCCCTATCTATCAATTGGCTTCATTACTCTGCTCTCCTCCCCACTGATCACTGATGTGTGGTGAGCGTTCTGGCGCACTATGGCTGCCGTCGCATCATCCAGGTGGATGCTGCACATTGGTGGTGGTGGTGGAGGGGAGTCCCCATTACCTGTAAAGCGCTTTGAGTGGAGTGTCCAGAATAGCGCTATATAAGTGTAAGCAATAATAATAATTATTATTATTATTATTATTATAAATACTGGGATAGTAGACCTCTTGGGAAACCCAGGTTGGGTCTCTAAGAGGTGTTGGTAGACATCTGGGCCAGAATTCCTTCAGGATTCCAATCCAATGTCCATCAAATGTATGGTGACCAGGAATACTGTGGTGTAGGATGTGCTTTACGGAACCACTTTTTTATTCAGAGCTTGGGTTCACATATATTATTAACCAGATGCCCTCCCACCAAATACCTCAGCCTGGCTCATCAACCCCTCCCTGTTTACCTACAGGACAAAGTGCACCGCTGTACATTTTCAAGAAGAGGGAGAGATAAAATGAAGAGGTGTTTAGAAATATACAACAAATACATAATGAGTAACGTATTAGTCACAAAACAGCTCTTAAACAAGAAGAAAAACAAAGACCCATTCAGGTGTCATCCTTCTGTGTTCCACAAATATTGTGTGACTGTGAGATGCCTGGGACTGTGTCATGCCTGTTTCGAGTGTGAATCAGTGAGTGTGGTTCTTGCGATTTATAAGTTGCAGTAAAGCACATTCAAAGTAGCATGACTACCTAGAAAGAACTCTAACACTAAACTTCAGATTCAGCCTGGCACCTGTCAGCTCCTAACAGTATTTTCAGAAATCCTAGTCACATAGTTTGCAAAACAGAGGAATCACTATCCTTTTTTAATCAGCTGTAAAAAAAATCATTGTGTTAATATAGTCACACAAAGCACCCGACACCTTAGTTATATATGTTGATATGGATGTTATGGCAATTTCCACCACCCTATACAAATGTAGACTCATGTACAATCACAGTGCATTCAGCATTTGAATGAAGACATCTTCTTTCATCCATTAGGATTTGAATGAGCAAATCGCACAGATTTGGGATTTCTAACCAAGGAAACCTAAGGTTTGTTCTCACTCCTGAATTGTTGTAAACATGATGGGGGTAAGAATGATTCCTAAATACCCTCTCATAAGAAAATAAGCAAAGACACAACAACGCATGCTGGGTCGGCCCCAAAGAACACTGCAAGGGGTTCCCAACGCTGATATAGAGCCAGAAAGAAGTTTGTTTCACAATCTGAGTGCTTGTCCTGTTCTTTGATATGTAATTACTTCTTTTCCTGCTTTGTCTTGCTCTAGGTTCTGTCCTTTGATATGCAGCAGACATTGATCTGCATTATCCTGTTTATGGAGTGTTTTGTGGGTGTTGGTCCCGTCTTTTTTTATGTAGTGTTAAGTCACTGGGTAAAGCAAGTCAGCTTCATTGCATCTTAGCATGACTTTTGTTGAAGGCTAAATTAACAGACCCCAGCAACACCTTCCACAATGTGGTTAAATGGTAATATTGAAATGCTGTATATGTGAGATATTTACATGTCCCACTTCAGAAGCTAACTGGTCTCATCCACAAGTTCTTCCTGTTAATTATTCTAGAAAGAAGCTGGGGTATCAGTTTAAGCCTTGGCTGGATAGTCTTTTTCATAACACCACAGCTCTTTGGGTAGAAATGTGATTCCTGTTCTCAGTTTTAAATGAGCTTTCACATAGTTATCACTTGTGTCTGCAGGCTTATTTTTCAGTGTTGATTACCTGAAGTAACCCAGACTACTGATAGGGATATTAAAAAGGTGAAGAACCTTGCATAATATGAAAAGTTATGGAACTACATTTGAGGTTCATCTACATAGAAATAGGATCTTGGGGGATTGTCAACATGGGTTTAGAAAGGTAGGTGTTACAGTACTTGTTGTTGATCAAGCAACAACAGTAATGGACATATACAGAGCATGTGAATTGATCTACAGTATTTAGATTTTCAGAAGACTTTTGATAAAGTAATTAATAACAGATTAATTATCAAATTGGAGGCCAAAGGCATTTGAGGTAATGTGTATGTCTGTTTGAGAAAAGGTTAATTAAAGGAAAACATATAGTACAGATAAGGAGTAAGTGCTTAAATTGGGGTGATGTGGATATCACAGGAATGCTCATTAGGTCCCTTGCTCTTCCTAATTTAGTTCAATGATTGAGATTCTGGTATACTCAGTACACTTTGCAAATTATATCAAAATAGGAGGATTAGTTAATACTGTAGAAATTGCTAAATACATTAAAACAAGACAAAATACAATACTAGACAAGCAACCAGCAAAAAAAAAAATACAGATAGAAATTTAGCAATGCTGAGAAAAACACACATATGAAAAATATATAAGTGTTTATGCTTCACATCCATCTCCTAGTCAATACTGGGAAGCAGTAAAGAGGCCTATAGTATGTTAGAAAACATGGTTTTAAGTATAGAATTTAGCGATTATTAGGATAAGGAAACCTTATGCTAAACTTGAACCATATGAGTAAAACCTCTTAGGGTATGATGTAGAATTTTGGTCACCCCTCTAAAACCTTTTTTAGTCTTAAAAAAATCTTCCAAGACATTTTCATAAAGACATAATTAACAACGGTTATCTAGAAAGGTTGACGGTCAGTTTACGGGTTGTTGACTTTAAATATAAGGGGTAGTTCAAAATCCCATGTCTGAAAGAGCCGAAATCGCCAAACGTCAGGTTCATATGCAGAATGTCTAATTATATAACCTGTATGGGTGTCGTATTAATCTAAATGATGCAGGATTTTATTGAAACTTGTCAAAAATACGTCCTTATTTACATCCTGTTGACAAGAGAAAGCCACGTGCAGTCAAGCGGCTTTCTGTATTAAATATGCTCATGTGTTGCAATTACCATGAAACCAAATTCCAAACAGCATTCACAATCTATTAGTAACATGGTTTGTTGTAACAATAATGCAGTTTGTATTATTTACACTCTTGAACAACCTCAGGGTGGAGTCTCGGTTTGTAATGTTACGTCAGGAGAGCTCAGGCTCAATTTTAAGTCCCGCACACTATCATAAAACAGTATAAGGGCACAACTGGAAAGATTTTACCTGAAAATCTCCACCTCTAAATGACAGATCAGCGAGGATGATGGGCCCCTTGGCTATACACGTGTAAATAATAGTCATGGTATGAATACCTGTAAAAAATAATGGAATAATTTAATTGAAATATTATTACAATAAAGCACATATAATGACCTTAATGTAAGAGTATTTGTCCTCAGAGTTGAAACTGTGTCCCCTGCTGTCAGGAGTCAGGACACCGGGTGTGTAACCTCTATTATTTCATACTTATATGTTGGTGATAAGCGTACTGAGGCCACAGAGGCTAATTCAAGACAACAAGATTGCGTTAAAAACCTGATCATATCCCAGATAAAGTAAAGGGGCGATCCAATCGACTAACTTTCATATCTCACCACATGGAGATGATTACTCCTAATTTCTTCGCCTCTGCTTGTACGGTTCCTGATTTGTATTGTCGGCCGTTTCCCGCAGTTGGAGCGCTCGAGAGGTTGTCCTGCTCAGCCCGGCGCCGACACAGACGACACAAACCTCAACACACTAACCTGCACCAGGCTTTAGAGTCAGACAAATGTGCAGTTTTCGCCAGTGGCTACAGCCAACTCTAATTGAATGGGCAGTTACAATCTGCAGGTGGGATGGTCGTGCTTTTTAAATTTACCAGATCCCTACCTAACAGACAATGGATCTAGATGGTCTATGTTTTTACAATTTTATAGGATTTATATTTAATAGAAAAGTTCATATTTTAAGGGCAGCATGTTTGTGTACAGCCTTTTGATCGCTTTCATTATTATTATTTGGGGCAAATTATTAAAGTGAGCCCCTCCCAACAAAACAAAAAATCCAAAGTAATGTACGGCTGCATTGTATATGCACACTGGAAATATGGAAAAGCGTCTTGCCACTTTATCCGGGCATCTTTATACGTTTATCTTGAGACGAGAAAGTTGCGTAATCGTGGTCTTCAGGAAATGATTAAATAAGTGCTGGGGCCCCTTGGCTGGTGGAGGCGGTGTAATAGATGAGAGGCAGGCTGTAAGAGCCGAGTACACTGCACACTATACACAGTACTGAAGCAGGATACAAGGTACAAAAATGAACCACAACAAGTCTGGAAAGTATAACAGCAGAAAAACGTTTCTGTTTACATCGGAATCTGTTGGAGAAGGGCATTCTGGTAAGTAAATAATGTGCCTCAGGTATTGTTATGCAGAAGGATTTAAATAAGATGAAACTGAACACGATATGCAATAGAAAAAGCTGCCCCAATATGGTGTAACACTACTACACTGTTTAAGTATTATCGCAAAGACAAACTAGCACAAGCGTCTTTATATTCAGTTTTTACGATCTTGGTTTAACAGTTATCCTTTTAATCAATTCTCTACCATTCCATGCATTGGTTATTAAGCATTCATAAACCAACACTGAATTTAGTGGTTTTCAGTTACTCGCTCATGTTCAGACACATTCTGTAATTGGGCTCAATATCCGCCACTGGTCAGTTAATTGTAAAGACACCTACTGTGCGCTTTTACCGATTAATATGAACATTATCAATACATAAAACAGAAACTGGACTAAGTCTCATTATGCTTATTATAACTTTGGATTGAATTTCTTAAAATGAAAATCACGTTATTAGCGCATTACAGTATGACAGTATTCGGTAGAGTCAGAGAGATGTTTTTGGGCATGTAAGAACATGTTTTGAAACAGCAAGAGAAAGAGATGGAGAGGTTTTCTATCCTGTTACGTGTGGCCATAACTGACACTTGAAATAATGATGACTAATCTTTTTTTTTATCAATACTCATGTACCTCACTTTCAATAATGCAAAGTGCAAAGTTTCAGTAACAGTGCCTCATCTCGCCTTGCAAAGTCAGATAAAATATTGCCTTTGTGTTACATCAGATGAAACAACCTCATGCCTAGTGTGTGATAAAGTGAAAACTAAGAAACCAGATTTACTTTGTTTTCGTCTGTTTTCAGTCATTAAATTGAGCAACATTTATATCACAGTTTATGAGTGTTTTTTAAATGAAGTGTTTTTTACTTAGTGTATATGTGACTGCGTCTAGTAATACAGGTTTTAGAGATGCAGAAAGAAAGAAAGAATTCATTTGTGCTGTCAAAGGTTATTGCAACCGTAAGATTAATTATGATGTTAAAGCTGTTGAGTTTCATTCAACATTCCTGTGTTTTTTCTGCTCAGATAAGATGTGTGACCAGATCAGTGATGCAGTATTGGATGCATATCTATCTCAAGACCCAGATTCCAAGGTTGCCTGTGGTGAGTTGTGTCGGAAAACGTTTACAAATTTACAAATATACTTTTACAACTAAGAAACAGATGTGTGACAGTATTCTTTTACACCTCAAATCATGTTTGCTTTTTTTTTTGCAACGATACAAATGAATTATCCTTAGCAAGAGCATCATTTCTCATGACAACAATTAAAACATTACAAAAATGTAGTCCCCTTATATTTATTCCTGGTGCAGGATTAATGGCAATAGTTTCCTGACGTTTAGCAATTTAAGAATGCGATGAAACAGTACTGCTGTGAATCAGGTTGGCTTGCCAAAATTGCAAACGGAGGCAGTAGGTGATCATTCCCATATCAAAAAGGTTGAAATACCAAAGCTTATCCTGGTTTCTGTAGCATTATGTGGAATATAGAGTGTGTGCCCCCCCAGATAGAAGTGCAGGAATTACCCCTTCCCTATAATTTCTAGCACACAGTAGCAAGCTGAATAGTTATTTTTTAGCATTCTCTATCACCTGTTGGGTTTACGTTTCCGTCATCAGAAATGATTAAAATTTTCCTCTTGAAAAATAAATGATCATTTCATTCTTTTGGATGGAAACAAGGAAACAAATGATCTACCCATAATTCAGGTCTAAGCAACAGGTCAGGTATCCTGTGTAGGTGAGAGACTGTTTTCATTCCAGCAGTTCACATGATCATTGTGTATGAGACAACAACAGACCAATAATTAACTCTGCTACTGTTCGTAGGTTTAATCTTGAACAAATTAAACTCTCCAATGGCATGTTGAGTTTGGTTTGAACGGGTAAAAAGCATCCATTATAACATGGATCGAGCCCAAACATATACCCTGCTTCAACACATTCTAGTGTACTTAATCCAGTGAAATAGTTTGCTGACTTTCAGAGAAATGCGACAACAGTGAAACTTCTTGTGTTTAACGGTATTTGCCTTGCAGGCATTTCCTGTTATATAAAACATGCTGATTGTTCTGTATGTTTTTTATTCAATAATATTTAGATTTTTTACATTTTTCAAACAGAGTGTGTAGCAAAGACTGGCATGATCTTGCTGTGCGGAGAGGTCACATCAAAAGCAATTGTAGACCTTCAGTCTGTTGTCAGGAATACCATCAAGAAAATTGGATATGATGATTCTTCCAAAGGTACTGTCCAATATATTGCCCTTAGAAACATGATGGTCATTTCAGCCACAAATTCCCAGAATGCTTCTAATCACTCTGCATTTTCCAGTACTAGTAGAATTGAACTTGTTTTTTCAAAACTAACACATTGTGGTGTAAAGCTGTAGAGTTAAATTAAACTATGTGCCAAGCAGAGGTAATAACATGTTCAGTGACTTCAGCTAATTAAACTGAAGGTGAATCTACACACTGTCTCATTCACAGTTATACACTCAGTCCAATATAAACCCTGAATTTTCGAAAGTACTAACTTCTTCCTGTGAAGAACTCTTTCTTTAACTGTTTTGGCTAAAATATATGTTTTCACAACTTACAGATATTAATATTCCAAGTCATTTAAATGAAACCACTACATATTCTAACTTCATTAACCCCAATTCTATGGAAAATGTGCACTATATGTTAGCATAAAGTGGCTTAAACTGAATTGTTAATCAAATGCAAGTCTGGATTCTTGCTAATTCTTTGTGCTCTGCTTCTTTATTGTCCTGTTATATAAATTTAATGTCTTTGACTTGCCAGTATACCATTCATTTGTGCTTTGAAAGACTACATTACAGGACATTATATGATAAATGATTTATTGCAATTTAAGTCTTTTGGAATTAAATAAAAAAACTGTGGATCGTGTGCCATTGCCAGTATACTTCTTTGTTTAAACCTTGCCTTTCCATCGGTAGGTTTTGATTATAAGACCTGCAATGTGCTGGTTGCTTTGGAGCCCCAGTGCATGGAGATCACAGACTGTGTTTTTGAGGGCAGGAACGAGGAAGATATTGGTGCAGGAGACCAGGTATTACATTAATGATTTCTTTCCATCTAGACATAGTTTGTCTGCCAGAAGGTATACATTACAGAAATTGTTAGACAAATGCAATGCAGTGCATAAATGTGTAACAGAATAAGTATTTTTTTACTTTTGCATACTCTGGAATAATGGGAACAAAAATCACCTCATTAAAAAGAAATGTCAATAATATATTGTTCTTCTATAGAAGCACAGATCCCAAATTGACAATATCGGCATGGGAGTTTCAGGACATGATCACTATAGGACTAGGAAAAAGGAAGAAACAGCACCTCAATTCAAAATCTTGCTAAAATACACATTTCTAGTACAACAGCTGTCAGTGTGAGTTCATCAGGGGTGTGCAAGGGGGGATAGTTTAAAAATAGGCTAAAAGATAAAAAATTGACACATTATACCATTAAATTGAACAGGCTAAAGTTATAGAATTGCAAACTGAAAACGAATGCCAAGCATACATACTAAAACATTACAGTCTAAGATTGCAAAACATAAATCACACAATAACTGCACCCCTTTTATAATTTGTTCTTTCTGCAAGAAAATACTAACAAGTGGTCTTATGAAATCCCATACTTAGGCCATAATAGCTACAGACATGAGAATATTAAGTTGAATGAAATTTGAAAGCTGGTGGTTAGCATTGAATTGCAGCTGTTGGGTCATTGTTTCAGTTGAGGACAGGGTGGGCCAACTTATGTGTGGAGTTTGCATGTTCTGCCTGTGTTTGCATGGGTTGTTTCATCAGGTTCTTTTGTGTCCTCCCACCTTTGAAGGCCATACTCGTAATGATTAATTGGTGTCTCTAAATTATCTGCGTGCATGTATTTGTGCTTTCAGTCAGTCAGTGCACCCTGTGATAGACAGGCGTGCTGCCCAAGGTGTAGTCCTGCTTTGCACCTAATACCTACAGGCTAGACTATATGTTGGTGTGACCCCATGACCCTGTCCAGGAATAAGCAGCTTTCTGATAGTTGATGTCTGTTGAACTAACATTTCCATAGAAAAACACTTTAGTGACAAGTAATTGTAAAACAAATCCAGCAGCCATATCACCCTGCAACTCACAACTGGCAACCCACTGAAGCTAAGCAGGTGTGAGCCTGGTCAGTACCTGGATGGGAGACCTC